AAAGGTGCGTAGCCCTTTTCCCCCGGTTTCCTTAAACCAGGAAAAATCCCACCGAGGCCTATTCAGGGCCACCCTTTCTCTCGGAGGGAGGGCTCGTGCCCGGGATTTTTTAACGAGTACCCGGCAGGTAAATGGATGTGTCTTTCAGCGCAAAAAAGAGCGCTACTAATTAAAGGGCCCTCTTTCTCTCTCCTCAGGCTCGGAGTCATGCAGGCCCACGAAAAATCTTCTTTGCTCCCCTTCGAGGCCGCCCTCGGCGTTAATTGGTGGCATTGAAGGAATCCACTTTTCCTCTCCTCCTCCTCCTCCTCCTTCGTTCTTCCCTTATTTTCTCCGCGAGTGTCAGCGAAACGACCGCAACGAGCTTCCGAGGAAAGCTGCTTAGTCCGCCGTCGAAGCTGCATCCTCTTCCCGGCGATTCGATCGATCTAAACCGTCCACGGGGAGACTTTCGAGAAACTCCTGGACTCCGGGATCCGGACGTCGGCGGAAACGCGACTTCTTCCCCCCTCCAGCGTTAACGACCGGCCCGCGTAATAAGCATTTACCGTTAATTGCACGGGGCACGCAACGGAAGCGACCGTACGACAAAAAGGCCAGAGAGGTCTCCTCGACCTCGCCATCGTCCCCGCTCGAACACGTTCGCGAAAACGTAAATGAAAATCGTCCCGCCCGCCGCGATGAAATTTTCATGTAATTTATACGCGATGAAAATGTAAGAATTTCACCGAGAATATTTCCTAATTCGATCCACGATAGCGAAAAATGTGAAATTCTGCCCCGTCTCGCAGTACATATAAAAAGGTAGAAAATAAAGACTTTCCACGGAAAATGCCCACGTGGGCGGATTTACCGAAACCCCCTAAGGACGTTCCCGTTCCACCTCCCGGAGTTCATTCCCGGAGGATGCAGATTTATCACGGGGGTGATTAATCGTCTCCCCCGAAGCGTGGGCGCGATCGTTACGTTTAGCTTTTCGTCCGTCCCTAATTATCGTCCCGTTCCCCTCGAGTTTCAGCCCGACGTTGAAATCGATGCCCCTGATATCGTAGCGCGTCCTTATCGCGGACTCGGATGAAAATTCGCTAGCGGTGCGTCCGCAAATTGCATTGTTCCCCGATACCGATACCCGGTATCATTAAGGGCGACCCTGGAGGAGGGCATCGCCACCTGCGGGACTTTTCTCCGCCTTCGAATTTCCTCCTTCCTCCTTTCACCTGCGTCTACGGACGTCGTTGCGTTTCCGGAAACCCGGCCAGAAATACGCGGACGACGTTTCCGAGTCGCATCTCCATGGGGTGCATTATGCATTAAACTAAAAAAAAGAAAAAAAAAAATTAAAAAATTAAAAATAAATCGATGCAATCGGTGGAAAAAAAAAAAATGTTATCACTTAATTAAATGTCTCATTTCGGGGAGGTCCTCTGCACTCCCGCGATGGAAAGGTGCATCCCCTGCCCCGGTGACGTTAAATCCCCTTGCGGTGCGCGGGGTAACCGGCAGTTAGTTCCAGCTGTGTCTCGAGCACAAAGGGATTTCCTCGAGGACAAGAGAGAGAGAGAGAGGGAAGGAGAAATAGAGGAGGGCGACATCCGGATAATAAACGTGCCCCGATAACGGCCGCGATTCGCGTCAGGCCCGGCCATCTTTCGAGGGTTTCGCTCGTTCCGGCTTCGGGCGGAACCGCGAGCCTTGCAGTATTCCTCGGCCCTCTGTAAATCGGATTAAAATCGCGTAATAACCGCTGCATCGAGATAAGGGACCCTAATCACGGTAAAAAGAGATCCCTCGTTCCCGGCGATCGGTCGCAAACCATCCGAGTCCGGGACCACTTCCTGAATTCTCGTGAAATTCAGGGGATTTTCCAGAATTTCCCAGAATGCTTTTCCACCCCATCCAGAGGTGCACGATCGTCCATCCCATTTTTCTTATCGATATCGATCAGGAGGCCGGTCACGGTGAAAAAAAAAAAAATCCCTCGTTCCCGGCGATCGGTCGCAAACCATCCGAGTCCGGGACCACTTCCTGAATTCTCGTGAAATTCAGGGGATTTTCCAGAATTTCCTAGAATGCTTTTCCACCCCATCCAGGGGTGCGCGATCGTCCATCCCATTTTTCTTATCGATATCGATCAGGAGGCCGGTCACGGTGAAAAAAAAAAAAAATCCCTCGTTCCCGGCGATCGGTCGCAAACCATCCGAGTCTGGGACCACTTCCTGAATCTCGCGAAATTCAAGGGATTTTCCAGAATTTCCCAGAATGTTTTTCTACCCCATCCAGGGGTGCGCGATCGTCCATCCCATTTTTCTTATCGATATCGATCAGGGGGCCGCGTCGTTTCCCGATCTCGGGGGTAAAAAGTGCACATTCGTATAATTTCCCCTCTCCGACTGGAGAGGAGTCGTCGGTTCGTTTGAAGTCTGACAACGTTTCGAGCACCGGAGCACTCGTCGGCGTCGCGGCGCCCTTCGAGTACTCGCCGTTTCCCGTCGTACCTCGCGATACCCATTTTCATTTGCGCGGTAATTAACGGCGGGCACGCGCGACAGCGCCGTGCCGTTTAGCCCCGTTTCCCTGCCCCCCGTTGGCCCAGTTTTTCGCGACTTTTTATCAAGCCGACGGGACGAATCGGCCCCCTTAATCAACCGCGACCCAAATCCGAGGCGGAAGAAGCGTCTCCCGTTCAGCCAGGGCAGGGGCGTGACTCAGGCCAGAAATCGCGGTAAGAAAACGTTATCACGTGGGCCATGATAAATCCGCTACGATTTACCAAGCGAACGCCCGCGCGGCTGATGCATTTATTATAACGACGGTGCCCGTCTTCTCGAGGCCAACGGAACGGGAGTATAGTCGTTTCTCGTACGGAGAGACGTATAGTCGTTTACAGGACACGGAGACAAATCGCTGGCGTTCCTCCTCAACTTTTTACTCCCTTTTACCATCGGCGCAAGAATTACGACCGATGCGTTAACCGCGACTCGCGTCAGCTGGCACTTCGCATTAATTCCCAACGACAGCGTAGACGATATTTTTTTTTTAATATCGAACGTAATACCTGTGACCTGAGCCTTGTTTTTTTTTTCTTTAACGTTAATCTTAACGATTACGATATTTCTCCCGTGAGCGCAGAAAAAGGATCGACCTCCCTCCCCTGTGTATCGACGCGGCGATACATTCGCGGCTTACGTCCCGTTTCTTTCAATTTCACCCGCACGGGGAACTCGCCCTGTAAATCTCGCATCCGCTCGTAAAGGGTGTCCCTCGTCTCCGGGAATTTCTCGAGACAAGCCCTTGATAAATACGCGGTTTAAAACCGACTTCCGTCGTATCCGTGCTCGCAGCTTCTCGACTAGAGAAACACCCCTTGCGGTGCACTCTCCAAAGCGTGTACAAGGAAAGCCGCGTCCTCCATTCCGAAAATAAACCAAGGGGTCCGAGTGAAAAAATTCTCTTGGAAGCTTCCATTAGTCAGATCGCACGGGGTGCTGCACCGTCAGTTAACTCTTATGAATCAGCAACGAGATCGAATTCGGTTTGCGAGAAACGTCGATCTCGCCCGTGTAAACCGATGCTCTCTCTGCCCTTTCTTCGGGAATTTGAGCAGTTTTCTGTTTTTTCTCTTATTGTGTAATAAAAAATGTGGATAAGTGCCTGATAACATTGCCTTTTATTCGTCTCCGAAGCCCGGAGGATTATTTGTCAACAAGGGAGCGTGGGGAGTGCGTCGCTCGCGAGTGCCGCGACGCGACTGGCGCGCGAGGGGAAGTACCTAAGAGGGGAGGGGCGGCTCGCGTTCCATTGACCCTTCGGCCCTCGCGGGGCGAGGGGGAGGAGCGGCTGGCCGGGCCGCGGGGATGCCCCGTCGAGAGGCTCGGGCGAGAAATCGCGGCGCGGGGCGCGCGACTCGACTTAGGGCTAATCGATCCTTCGGGTTCCTTTCTGGCCCCTGACCCTCGCGACGCGCGGAGCGGGTATCCACACGTCGAGGATGTTGCAGGTACTTACTCAGGGCCACCGAGAAGCCGCCTCCACGTGGGCGCCCGACGACGGGTGCGTCCCCCAGGACGGCGCGTCGTCGGATGGGCGAGGGACGCACTCTTCCATCGCGAGGCTCGAGGCTGCTGCGTCCGCCTCCACTCGTCCCTGTTGTCGAGACCGCGACCCTTACCCGACTAGCGAACTACCCCCCGGGTCGAGACCAATCGGCGGACTCGGGGCTCCACCCGAGGCGCCGACCGCGGCGCCTGCCCTCCGCCGCCACCGAACGACCGACCCGCACACTCCCGAGCGCGGATACCGACTGACGGCTCGCGCTCGGCTGGCGGCGCCACCATGCACGTACCGACCCGTAGCGCCGCCCCTAGTTCCAAGACTTGCCGCGCGGCGCGTCACTGTCGCGAGCACGTTGCTCTTGTCAATTTAAATTTTCCTTATTTACTCGGATATTTAGAATGATAATTGAAACCAGGCCCGTAAATTAGGCAGCTTAAATTATGCCGTTAGAACTTTCAGGATCGGGAGTGTTTAAACGACGTGGTTAAGCGACGACGAGGTGGGAAGAATGGTACGATCAAGAGTCTGGCGGTTATTTTGAATTTCTACGCACTCGTGCAATGGAGGGGATTCGAAGGAGGTATGGATTTTGAGACATTTTTAATAGTTGTCATTATTTTATGTCGATGTAACTGGGATTTTTCGTCCACCTGTAACGAGTGATTCGTTATGGATGCTTCGTTAGCGCCGGGTAATTCACCGTGAAAACCTATGCCGTCTTTTTTCCGCCCGTCTGTTTACGCAGATCTTTTTCGGATAGATATGCTCGGTCGATGGAATCTTTGTTCGCCCCGTGAATTATTCATACTATCCACGACAGCTCACGAAAGTTCGCCGCTGGTATCTAGAGACCTGCGGCGCATAAATTTAGCTCTCGGAAGTTAGGCTTTCGAATTCGCTTTTTCAGCAGCCCATGAGCCACATGTCAAGCACATAGGGTAAATAAAATTAAAATGAAAATAATCGAGGTAGAATAAAAGTCCCAAGAAATTATTTTAGACGCTTGCTCTTAAAAGTTACAAAAGTTAATGCATAAAAGGTGGGTAAAACTAAAAGTTTGGTCGCATGTTGTGCAGACGAAAGTAGCTGGGTAACTAATTCAGCGGAATAAGTGCACACATCGGAAAAGAGATTCGAGGTAAAGTTGAAAAGGTGGAGACCGCCTGCACAACCTACGATTGTTTTTCCATAATAGATTAACTAGATAGTCCAGGGAAGTAGGGGGAGTTAGGGAAAAAGCTTCTTGTCCGATGTAGTTCGTTACGTCAGTTTCCGATCGGACAACCCTCTGAAGGGTTCGAAAATAATTCAAACATCATATAAAAATTAATAATCCTTTTGGGAAAAATAGCAGAGTGGCTTTTTCCCTGCAGTGGGAAACTCTACGAAAACCGCAAATTCCTGCTCCGAATGGCCAGAATGTCTGAAAAAGGAAAACTCTATGCTTACACGTGGCTGAACGAGTGGCTTTTACGTTTTTCCGGTTTCTTGCCGCCCCAAGGAGAGATAACCGCGAAAAAAGAGGCTGTTCGATACGTCATCTTGGGAACATCCTTCTTCTATTTCAATTTTCTCCTGATTCCGTGCGTCGAAGTCATTCTGAACAAGGTAGGTATACCACCCCCTTGGTCCGACATGATTTTCAATCAACAATTTACCCCTCACAAAATATTTTTCCTAACTCGCAATTTGACTTCATAAAATTGATCTCGCCACGCCTTATCACCAGGAAACGACGAAAGAGGACTTGATGACTGCAGTGATTTTGCTTCTTTCGTGCGGAGGAGGGGAACTGAAGGTAATACTGGTGCTGATCAACAGGAAGACTATCGGGCGATTATTGAAGGCGATCGAGGAATTAGCCAACGACACCGAGTCCGAGGAATTCGCCATTTTGTCTTCCTGGGCAGTTATCGGAAGACGTTTGACCCTGTGCTTCGTCTCGTTCGGAGTGATGCTGGCATTTCACTGGGCATTCCTTCCAGTGTTTCTTCATTTTACAGGCCTGAAAATCGCAGAGATGACGCCTTATCCTTTATCCATTAACGTCTCCTCCATAGACGCGCTAAAATTCGAGATGATATGCATTGCGCAGACCGTATCGGCGTTCGGTTGCGTTTTCAGTGCAGTGGGGGTCGATTCCATCAGGGTTACTCTAATTTTTGAAATTTGCGGCCAACTGGATCTGATCTGCTTCTGGTTGAAGCAGACACAGTCCGACGATCTTGTCTCTTCTAGGGATATAATATATAAATGTGCCAGGCGACATCGCTTTATGCTGATGTGAGTCACATTTTTCGTAAGATCACGAAAACTCCATCTTATAAGTGATAACATGGTCCATTTTTTTTGCACTATTTTCTTGATCTGTTAATTTTTTTTTCAGCTGCTCCAAGAAATTGGAGGAGTCCACGACGTATGCTACCTTAGTTCAGTTATTGACCATCATGTACATGATTGCGATATCAGGAGCCAATTTTTTTTTGGTAATTAAAAAATTGTCTACATTTTTAATTTTAGTTCCTGACACTTTTGTACGCTTCTAGGCAACCTCGGATGTACACAAGAGTGTGTACGCCCTGATACTCGGTATCATTCAGCTGATTTTTCTTTGTTGGCCCGGGGACATGTTAATATCCACGGTAAATTTCTCTGAGCTATGCGTTTCAAGCTGGTGAATTATTTTAATACAGTGTAAAATTAATTTTCATTAATGTGTGTTTTTATTCAGAGTTTCCACGTCGCCGAGGCGCTTTACTTCGTCCCTTGGTACAATTATCCTCGAGATGTTAAGAGTTTGACAATGGTCATGATAACGCGCGCCCAAAAACCAGTCGTTCTGACGGCCGGAAAATTCGCGGAGCTTTCCCTCGAAACTTTCTCAGCGGTCAGTTTGAAATGAGCTTTTAAACATTTTTTACAAATCATGAAGTGTCAAGTATTACATCTGCTCCTATAGATAATGTCGCGCATAGTGTCCTGCTTCATGGTGTTAAAAGAGTGTCTATGAGCAAGTGATTAGTCAATTTCAAAGAGTCTAACATCGGAAGCGACATTTTACGCATTAAATAAGGTATGGCAAATTTGTAACAACATTTTCAAATTCATGGTTAATTATACAGCAATCTTTTTCAGCTGAGTTGAGGAAGGAGGACTAAGAATTAATTGTTTAGAACACGCCGATATATATTATAAGTACAATGTCAAAGTACAGTGTTAATTCATACATAAACGTTCAGATAAACGAGGAAATAAGTTTAAATAAAAGCTAACCTGGAGACGAAAGAGCAACTGGGTCCGTTAAAAAATTGCCAAATACCTTTTTATGTGGTTTATAATTTTTTTTTAGTCCAGTAATGGGACAATATAGTTGGTAAAGGAACTTTAGACATCTCATCCAACACGAGGCGGTCTGTGCCCGAATTGTCGTTCATAGGCAATGTCTGCATCTATTCTGTCGAGCAGTTGGCGCAGCAACGGATTTCGGTCATTTTGTTGCGTCGTTGTTGAAGATGTTGTCGTGGTCACATTTGGTACATTTGGATTTCTTCTTCCCGGTGTTTTGCCCTCCTTGGGCTGTTTTGTGTCGTAAGGAGACCACCGAACAGGAGTAGGTTCTCCGACAGCTTCAGGATTTGCAATAGCTTCAGGATCTCCAATAGCTTCAGGTTCTCCTATGGGATCACCTCTGATGATCATGACAAAAGCAATAAATGCAGCGAATAAAATAACTGTAAGTGACTTCATATTCTCTACTCTTCTTCTTTGCAGGCTTTCTAGGGAGGATATTTTGGATGTTGAACAACTCGGTTATTCTTCGTAACTAATCTCTTCGTTCGTAGATCCGCTTTTAAATTCCTATTTCTTTATCACCAGCACGCTCCTGGCATTGCGTGAAACCTTATCACGTTATAATGTTACGTGGCGGCCGAGGGGATGCGAGGCCGAGGGGAAAATTCGGGTTTTGCCTAATAAGGTCTTACCTCGAACGTCCACGTAATGATCAGATATTATTGTGAGGAGATGGTCCGAGCGGCTAGACCAAATCCTCTGGTGGGATTTATAGGAATGTAGAGCTAAGGAGGCCCCAATAAATGGAGGTTATCTGTAAATTGATGAGGATGTATATTTTCGTATTTCAGTCAGATGGGGTTTATACAAATCGTGAGGGTCCTCGATGGTGCTCGCGTTTAATTCGTACGATTTGATTTCGTTCCGCGTTGCGGAGTTTCGGATGACGCGATAAGGCGGTCAGTGGCAGTAGGTCACTGGACGCCTAATCTGCTAACATGGCACTTCTTGCACTCTGAATTTGTGAGGTTCGCGTGACTCTAGCGCGAAATAAGATATCGAAATTTTTGGAGATATAAAAGACTTAATCTATCCGGTTAACCGGAGCTAGGCATGGAATTCGGGTGGTTTTAGTTGCGATGAAAGATGAGGTTAGGATTAAAGATGAAGGTGACCCGAGCTTGCGAAAGGGCCTGTACCTGGATTAGATCAGCGGCCAAATTCGGTGACGTCCTCCTTAGATCGATCAACCGGATGACTGCGCGTGAACGCGTTCCGCCCGTGATGTGCCCTAGGGTTGGAGGTCTCCTCGGAGCCTCCCGTCCAACGGATGTACTAGTGCCGCAGTCCCTTCCTGGGTTGATGCCACAACTGTAGCTCGAAGTGCAGGTGATCCTCCGAGTTCGATGATTTCTGTCTCAGACTCGCTAGGAACTGAGAGTCGAGAACCAAAGACTCCAAGCTCGAGGTCGATGATGATGATGATTTCCGTGAGACTCGGTATGAGTCTGACCTTTCTTCTAACCGACTACGACTGCGATTTCCCTCGGGTTGATTGTTGGTTTTTATCGGTGAATTTGGGACGGCGCTCCAATTGGTGGGGGTTCCATGGTTTAGACGAGGGCGGCGTTTGCAGGGGTGGAGGACATGTTGCAGCGTCATCACGATGCATTCGGGCCCGGTTGATCGCGACTTGGTCTACTTTGGTCGGTGGCGCGATCTTAGTCAGGTCGAGTGGGACCTCATTTCGCAAGCGTATGGCAAAATCGCGTGCTAATTTATGGAATTCCATGGCTACCTTCCGATTTATCGGGTCGCGAATATTTCGTAAGTAGTGTCCACGTAACAATAAATTAATAATAGTGCTTCCACGACTAGCGACTTCTCCTCAATTTTATTTATTATATCGTTTGCATTCCATGACAATATTCGATGGGTCTGTGACATCTCATTTTTGTAATATATCGGCTGTTTTCAATTTTTCTGGGTTCAATAAATCAATGTATATGGAGAAGCTTTTTATTTACTGAAATGTAATTATAATTTATTGCATATACAGCGGTATCGACATTCCCCGGATTTTTTTCAAGGGTATGGAATAGTTTCACGCAAACTACTTTTTATTCGCTAGTGCCTCCCTCTTCCACGACCTCTTGCATTAAGGGGTGGTTGATTTAACAATCGACGCAATTCTGGATAATTAACTCTGACAGTTCGTGTTACAGGATATGCAGCACTTGTATTGGGATGTTGGGGATGATCATCCCCGACAATAGCTTCAGGATTGCCCAGAGCTTCGGGCTCACCTTCAGCTGGCAAGAGCAAGATGGCCAAAATGGTAACGAAAAATGCAAGGAAAAGCTTCATTGTTCTGCGCACTCTTCTGCAGATTTTCTAACAATGTGCTGTACATTGGTGAGACAAATTGCTCTTATATTCTCATTCCCCTGTCCATGAGTAGTTCCACACCCGCGTTTTTACCTTCCCGTATCTGATCACGATTTTTTATAAGGTTATCGTATTTCCGCATATTCGGATAAGAGAAATTCGTCATATCCGGCTACGAATGACCCTGATCCACGTGTGCGAGCAGTTATTGCAGACTCGTTGAAAAGGTTCACTCCTCCACATGATATCGATAATATCGTGACCCAGAATTATTGGGTAAGAAGAACAACGCGTGATCTTCGTGATTTTCGAGGGCAACTGAAAATGGAAAAATTTTTTTTTCTGATAAAAAATCCGCCACATCCGCTTTCGAATGGCCCCGATAAACGTGCTCGAGTAATTCATTTTTAACGTGGGTTAACATAGATAATGGGAAGAACCGAGTCACGACGATCTCGGTTTAAAAAAGCGTTGTACTCGAGGAAATCACATAGGCTTCGTTTATGAGTTGAGTGGGAATAAGAAGACACCATGAAGATCATCGCCCTTACTTTGGTGATTGCCGCGATAATTTACGCCATCGAAGTCAGAGGAACTCCGGAATCTGGAGCCAAAGCAGAGTCTGAAGCGGGAGCCGAAGCGAGGCCTAAAGCGGTGGCCGAAGCGGGACCAGACGCTGCACCTGATGCAGGTCCTGAAGCAGGGGTACCGGGATCGGCTGCGTCTCGCGTTCCTTTATACAGAAACAGGACGAGATATAACACCCCAAGAGGAGCGGGAACCAGCGGCGGAGGCAACCGTGGAGGCAACCGTGGAGGCAACCGTGGAGGCAACCGCAGAAGTAATCGCGGCGGCAAATGAATTCCTGAAGAAACACCTAAGCGAATTTGAGCCGTCGACAAGCTCCTTTCACACGTGGATACGTGAAATAGGCGTAAAAATGCAATTCCACAAATAATTATAATATCTCTGTAAGGCCTTCACATGATCGAAAAATAAAAATCATGCTGAAATTGCACGTTGTCGTCCAGTTTCATGGGTCGTTATTTGGCGGAAATTTAATCGGCATGGTGGATGGTTTCTTTTTTTTTTTTTAAGGGAATTATTTTATACGTCATGAATATATTTTTGTACAATTATCGTACAACTAACCATGCGAGGAGCCATCGCTTGTTATCAAATAAGTTCCCCCAGAGGTGCAGCAGACCGCGTTATCAGCTGCCGGTACTTATCACCCCCGAAACCCGGCGACTTTTCCGCAGATGGCAATAGTTGTCCCAGTCCCCAAAATAATTCTCAGGAATATTTTATTTATATAAACGGCGGTCTGTATATAAAATATAAGAACGCGGATCGCATAACAATTGTATGACGTTTCCAGGAATTTCAACAGGTGAATTTTCCCTAGCCGGGAATTTCTTGCAATATAACGCGCTACATCGAATCCATGTTACGCGTCATTTTTTGTTTTCGCCATGGTGGGACCATTTGGCAATTAATAACGAGGAAGGATTAATCAAGGTTGGCTGCGATCCACGGAAAAGTCTATCGGAGAGAAAGGTTTCCTGTGTAGCACTTGACTTCCGTCCGCATCGATCATATTTCTAGTTCTTACGAAGATGGCCACGACGTGTCCGGCGTATTAATTCATTTCCCGAGTGACCTTTTACGTCCGCTGATACCAGATAAAACATGACGAATCGAACCCCATGAACGTGGGGATATTATTCAAATTCCCGTCGACGGAATTTTTATAAATAATTTTTCCAACGATTGCAGAAAATCCCGCATCAATCCTGCGCTCGGGCGGATAGGATGCACTAGAATTCACGGGATCACGGTTCACCATGGGCATTATCGGCATTTTCCCCTGGTCCCCTCCTCCAACGAGGTAAACCCTGGCTTGGAACTTTTGGAACCGCCCTCGTCAAGAATAGGCGTGACTGGAACCTGCAAATAGGCGTGTCCGGAACCTGCAAATAGGCGTGGCCGGAACCTGCAAATAGGCGTGGCCTTAACCTGGAATTTCTGGAAAATTATCCAGGGAGCATTGATCGCAACCGACACCTCAATTTGAAGCTCTTCGACCTATCCAGAGTCCGGCTAAATGGAGAACCAACATCAAGAAGTTGTGGTCTTAAAACGTCGAAAAGGATCTTTAAGTGCCCAGGAATTTTAATATGTCATTGAAAGTGTTATAGGATTTTGTAAAAATTTTTTTTTTTTTTTTAAGCCGAGGATCCTCCCTTCGGTTATTGGCCGAGGTGAAGGAAGCCACGTCTTCCGGAGAAGTTGCTTACTTCACTCGTTAGGACCGAGCCATCCCGGATTCTCGGCAGCCTATTGGCCTCGCTATCGACGATCACGTCTTTTACTCCAGCTGCTTTATCTCCGCCGTTCTCGGGCACGATCCCTTCCGCACAACCCGAGGCGTGGAATCCTCGTGAAACTTTTATATTCCTGCGAGCCCTATAAACATTTCACAGTCTTTTTCGTCCGGACTCCATCCGAGACGCGGAGACTCTGATTTGCCGAAACGTGAAATTTAATAATATTAATCCGTAACGTATTCTTAGTCTCTCGTAATTTTTGTCTCCACCCTTCAAGAAAGCTCATCGATCCCTCTAAACAAGTAACATGATAAAATATTGAATATTTAAATTGCAGGAATTTTTTAAATCGGAAATTATAGTACTGTTCTTAAGTGATTTTTCTCAAGGTACGGAGAAATTCATCCGACAAAATTGGGGAGGATTCCAAGGGGGAAGAAAAATTAATCGCGACCGAAAGTCACGGCCGAAAGGGAGGCGAGTGCCAAGGACAAAAAGCAGGGATGAAAGGAAGTGGCCGAGCAGAAAGGTGAGCGTTCCTCGAGGTGACAAGGTAAATAAGCAACGTGAGCCATATACGTAAAACGCTGAGTGCCGGTATCGCGGGGACTCATTGCTTTTCATGAGGCCAGGAGAGAGCGGCTAGGATCCCGGAGACCGATGGTCAATTCCGGATTCAATTCAATCCTGGGAAAGCAGATGGAGGTGGCGTAGATTATAAATAAACATGAAGGCCAAGAAGAGGGTCACCTAACCGAAATCATGATGGATCGCTCCCCGCAACACTCACAAAGACGCATCGCTGTACGAGTTCGATTTCGGGTTGCGAAGATAAATGCAATTCTCGCCGAATCGACCACGTGGCATTCTTTCAATTGGAGCGACATTGACGAGACCTTGCAAATGCGAAATAATGGGAGATTCCATGGGGCATAATTGAACGGCAGAGTGAGGCGTTGGCGAAGAATGCGAAGGCACCAGTGGGGGTGTTCCATTTAAAGAGAGAACCGTCTAATGAGAAATCCTATCACCTCTCTCCTGAAATTACGAGAAAAATCAGTCTCGAGGGAACATACCCCTCACCTGGGCGTTACTTCAGAGGCGACGGTGTTAAAGGGTTGAATTGAAGTCCCCACGTACAAGCCATGATTTTTTTCCATGCAATAGCAGAAATATTTTCAATCAGTGTATAAATTTATTCTGTACGTTTTCGGCATAATTCGGCACTCGGTATATGTGAAGAATTGACTTTGCTCATTTTGCAGCGTGAAGGAAGGAATTACCCCTGAAGAGGCCTCCGCGAGGTCGCGGATTATTCGTCCTGTTATCAGCTGGAGAAGCCGGACAATCGGACATGGATGGCCTCGTTTAGCGATTCTCGAAGAACCATGAAAGGGTCCGTTGCGGGTTCGGGATCTGAAGGCGAGAGGGGCTCGTTTTCGAATTAATTCCAAGCAATGGGAGAACGGCTGAGAGGTGCGTCTGGAGCGGACAGGCTTCCCACGGGACCGCATGGCGCTTCCAGGAGGCGGCTCTACATACAATAAAGAAATTCCACGATTCCATCCGGAAGCGAACCTACGAGGTGCGATCGCTCGAGGGAGCCCTGGTGCTTGAGTTAATGAAATCCATTGGCCGCCTAGTGAACCGTTCATCGGTCTTGTCAGGGAGATATCGAAAATCATTCCAGAATTCCCCCATTCAAACCTGGACCCTTGGCCTCGATCGGCAAGGAGAGACTAGTCAACTCGAAGAGTGCGATCGTCACGTGTCAATTGTACTCTATTTGCGGTGGAAATAATAGAAGAGAAGTCGTTTCGAAAAATCGTTACCATGAGGAGCGAACGCTGGATTTGGTCAACAACCAAGATGGCCGCTGAAGAGCGAGATGTCTCGGCTGGATCCGGGAATTCTAAAATTCTTTGTAAGAGCAGTCCTGAACCCTAATATGTAATCAATGTCGCGGCGAAATTCTGCACTTTTCCAGGTATGTAAAATGATTTTTCTCGGAGGCTTTAACAATTCGCAGAGAAATTAAATTTGGCTTCTCCGGGTGCTGCCATATGGATGGTGGAATTCGTATTCGTTTCTCTTCTTCGGGTTATGGGTGATTACTGCAGTTAAGCTCACCCTCAGTTTATTAAAATGCATTTCAGTTCGGTAGCAGATATCATCGACTCGATGACTGAGAATTTATTGAAAGAAGTGGATTCAAATGGAAAAGAAGCAGTGGTTCGTTGCAAATGGAAAAGAAAATGTCCTAGATCCAGAAACGTCCAACCCCTCCTATATTTCGTTAGCTTAATGAACCAGTTAATTACCCTCGAATTAAACAAGTCAAGATTATCAAGTCAATAGACCCCACGCGGAACGTACTCCCAGGGGGCAACACACGTTTTACATAAACTTCCATGCCTTCCTCTGAATCGTTTATTTCTCAGCGTCTGTAAGATCGTCGAGTGATCATTTCTTTCTTTCCTCGAGAGCCTTCTACGAGTAATTCGATAAATCAAGATCAGCCTCAAGAGAGTCGCAAGAAATGTGCTCCAAGATGAAATAATCCCTGTTACCGTACAGTGAATCTCGAGGGCAAAGAAATTGTGTTAATGGCGGAAAATAAAAGTGCGATCGAAGGATTTGGACGTTTTATGTTTATGCACGTTATTCGCGGGAAAATATAATATACATCCAGTCTTAAAAATAAGAGGAATTGTGTCAGGGCTAAGAATGGCGACGCAGGGAAGCAGTTAAAGGGCTTAAAGCATTTTCCTTTAAGGTTCGAAGCCTCGTTAAATTCTCCCGAATTATGGGGAGTGGGCGTACATATTATACGGACACATCCGCATTATAAAACAATGTCGGGACCGTGGAAGTTGACCCACTCCAAGCTCGAGACGGAGGAAGTGAGGAAAATGCCGAGCGGAGTGTCAAGTTCCGCATCTTTTGTGCGAAAAATAATAGCTGTGTCGTGGCTCGTTGAAACTGAATGCCAAGGAAAGTAACGATCCGTTGCTGGGCGAGATCAAGCGATGCAATTAAGTGACTGACGCAATTCACAATCGGAATGGAAAAGTCAAAAGTGAACCCGACTCGCGTGCGACAGACCTCGGGGTGAATATTAAATAGTGCAAAGTTCCACGATTTTAGGGAATCTTGACCAAGGGGGTCTTCAGCAACAAGTAGCACCTCGTGTGTTTGCCTCCGAGTTTCCTCAAAATCAACAAGTGACTGCTTCCTGCTCGGAATTTCTATATTGCTTTCTCGTTCGACTCCACAGGTGGTAACAAGCCGGAATCGCATGTATAAATCTGCTCATCGGCGAGGTGATCCTTATTAGACGCGATTCGAATCGCCCCTCGAGGGCAGTTTCCTCCAATCTTATATTTTTAGACACCGCTTCGCGAGTTTCCCGAGTCGCCCTCGCCGCCATCTTGCTTTTCTCTCTGCACTCAGCGACCTCGTCGATAATAACGTCAGCTTAGAGATAAAATATTCGTTCGGACCGGCACTTCCTTCGTCTTCAAATTCCTCCTGTGTCCGCGTCTCTTCGGAGTCGGAGCACGAAATAATAATCAGATTGTTTTATAGCGTTCGCGGCCAAAATGCGAGTGGAATAGCTAATGTCCGCAGGGGATGGTCTCGGTCAAAAGCACCTAAAGCTCCCCGCTTATTTTCCCTCGACTCGAATCCACTCGAGGAGGCTCATATTTTCCGGAGCACGTGGCCAAGGAAGAAAGGACTTCCACGGGCCGACCCTCCCCGGAAGCTCGGGTATTTTTTTAAACCCCCCCACCGGTCCCTGAAATTTCCTCCCACTTTTCAAACGTTCTTCTCACATTTCCAGAGGACGTCGAGGACGAGGCTATAAATCAAGAAGAAATCGAAGAAACGAAGGTGCGAATCCAGGAGGGGCCGGAACGTAGACGAGACTGCCGAGGTCCCCATTTCTGGAGCGGAGGCGTTTTAATAAAGAGTCGTGACCCGGGCAGGGCACTCATATCAAAAATTCCTCAAAGTCCCGGAATGCCGAGCGCCCTCCCGAAGCATTCCGCGGCTCCGGCTCTTCATTGATGGACCACGACGACGACACGGCACGGAGCCATTTCCACCACAATCGGCATAACCGCGCCCGCCGTCGTTAGAGCTCACCCTCTGCTTCGAAGCACGCTCCCCGGGGTCTTGAAGCCAAAGTAAGCGACAATTTATGGCTCGGAGCTTTCCCGCGATGAGCGGCAGGAGCTCCCTAAGATCCTCGAAAATTCCTGCCGGATGAAAAAGGGCATCCTCGCTGTCTCCACTCGTCATAGATTCGCTGTACCTTGCATCGACCCAAAAAAATTACGTAAAACAGTCGGGACTAGACATTGCACCATACCTATTTAAATGAATACACTAATGTTTCATGAGACATGAAAAATCCAGGATCGCGCAGGCAGGGAAATTTATTCCAAGGAAGATATTCCGTTTTTTTAATATTCTAATAATATATTGTTATATATGATATGTATTTTATAGGTGATCCTTTTGTACAGGGTGATACGGCCGCGCCGATTGCGCCTGGTGGGGGCGATAAGAAGTGGGGCTGGGCACGACGGGGGCGGCAACCCCCGGCCGACCATGCGCCCTGTCCTCTCCGATTGGGGCCACGGTCCTCGGGATCGGAAGAGGAGGCCGAAGACGTTCACCGGACGCAGACGACGCAGGGTTGCGACGGCCCCGAGCCGGACACGGGGTGAGATGCGCCCGCACCCTCAATCGGCCACGGGATTTCCATCGGCGAGCACCGCCTACCGAGGGGACGAGGAAAAGGACGGTTAGCGCATCCTCTGGGAACCGGATCGCTCCTTCGGGAAAGCCTCCGCGATCGGTGAGCCAGCTCTTCACCCTCTCAGACTATCTCGAATCCGGAACTCCGAGGTATCGGGAATTCAGTGATTTTAAATATATTCCCATGATTATTTATAACAGATATTTCTAAGATTATCTGTAAAGTTCGGGGTAAGTCCTCACGGCACGCAAAGTACGTGCTATCACCGGCCCGATAAGAAATTTGGTGAGCACTGAATTTTTATATCTTCGATCTGCCGGAATAACGCGAGAGAGAACATTGATTAATATCGTTTTAAGTGGGTATTTTCGAAGAATATTTTTTAGGGGACCTAGGATCGACAGAATTATCTTGCACAGGGGAGACGAATTGGAAGTAAATCCTCCGGCTGATTCCGCGATTCAAGGTACACGTGGAGATTCGTCGAGTTATTAATGGATAATTCGATCGAAATTCGATTTCAACGACGCGCACGCATCGCGAGACAGCCCAAGGCTAGCTCTCGTAATACGATTTCGTTCCGCCTTTACAGCTCGCTACGTGAAATTCATTTCGTTACCGTTTGATTTACAAATAACGTCCTCGGACGATATACGGAGCATTCGACTGCAAGAGCGAGAGATTGGATTTGCATTCCGCATACATGGAGATATATGACCGGTCGGGCAGGACCCTTTATCAGTGCCAATCCCGGCACATCGTAGATTGCCCTCGGAGTCGATAAAAAGAGATCACTTGCCGAGAAAGTATGCAATAAAATGAGAACACAAAATTGAGCAACGATTCCGACATAAGCGTCTGGTCTGCTTTTAACAATCTGCACGACTTCCATTCTGTCGATTATTAATTAAAAATTAAGTTATCGGTGAATGACGACGTTTCCTTGTGATTCGCTTACGAGAGGTCTCGGGTCGCCGACGTGAGAGTGGGGAACAAGAAACGTCCCTCTCGTGGACGTTTAGTTTTCAATTATTCGCGCCATCGGGTCTCTGTCGGAAGTCGGTTATCCGACCGGATCTCTCTGAAAGGTCCATCCGACAGTTTCCGGTCCGACTAACGTGTCCACCCTGGAGATATCCAAAAGGGTCCCCTCTAACTTCCGACCTCGAGTCTCGACTTTGCGACCTCATTTCCACGTGTCAACCTCAGCAGAGGGACACGCCCGGGCTGGTCTTCGAAATCTCGACTTGGGGTCTCAGAGGGGACAAGGAGGCTGCCTCGAATGCTGGACCGAGATAAAAACTAATGCTTTTAATGAAATACTTCCCGCCACTCCCTTTGAGAGCGAAGGCCCGGGTGGAGGAGAAAGAATTTCAAAAGCTCGAGAGGGATGGCACGACGTCGACGTGGAAATACACACGGGGTACTTAGCGGGGGAATAATTAAAATTAACACCTGGACCCTCACTCGGGAAATTCAATTGTCCGCTATTAGCAAGGATAGGAAACCCGAGAAATAATTCCGGGCTCGGAAGAGACGGTTGGGGGACTCTAGTATTTTTTCTTCTTTTTTATTTAGAGTCCGGCACCCGGTGAAGCGAGATTTTTCGACCTGGCCGATTTTTCGAGTGGTCCGTCGCCCCTCTGTCGAGGGTGCCATCGCGGCTGCCGAGCTGCAGTTAATAGAGTCATCGGTAACTAGGTTATAAAGCAATCTGCATAACCGTGCTTGGTACTTTGCCTGGACTGGTGCACCCTAGCCTGCCGTAATTACCGGCGATAACGCGATTACCGGATCGTCAAGGGTAGTAACTGAGAAGACTACCCTGAGTAGTGGTACTCTCCGCACCTTGATTTCAGAGCCAAAGTGCTGCTCCGACCCTGAGGAAGATGCTTTCAAAACCCCTCCGTGAAATTCCTTTTTCGTTCCATCGACTTCAGATTTGACGATTCTTCGTTACCGCGAGTGATTAGAAAAGAATTCGCTTTTATTTCCGGCGATGGCGCGATCGGCTGATCTTCGAGGTCGGCGCCGACTTCGAAAAGTCTCCCGAAGATGCTCTTCGCGTCTTTATTTCCCGACCGAAGTGCGGATAAGGAAGAGGCATCGGAGCATGCGGAAGAGAATTCAATTCGATTTGGCAAAGACGTCTCGTCCTCTCGACTCGGGAAATCAAATCCAAAAGAGTCCTGGGTGGATCGTCAATCCGGGATATCAAATTCACGGAGAAGGATCGCACTTTGTCGATTTTTTAATAAAATACATCCCTCGAGAATTAAACATTTAGCTCGTATATATATATTTTTTTAACACTATTTTACTTATCCTACCCCTGGTTTTCGCAAGGCAATGTCCCGTCCCTTGAAGGGAGCGAAATCTTCAATCGGCCTGGGCCAGGGGGTGAGAACCAAATTGAACCAACAGGAGGAAAGGCGAAAATTGGCCGTTACTCTTATCAAACCGAGCTCTACTACCCCCGATTGCGAAAAATCGTCCTAACCGAGACGGACCGAATGGAGGTCGTAAACCTGTAAATTCTATTTGAACGCGATCGAAGGTGCAATTCGATCGAATACTTCCTCGCTATTCGTCCCTAGTTTCGGGAATTTCCCTAGACTTGGAGTTAAAATAAAAGAAAATAAAGGGTGAGAATTTTCAGGGGTTAAGAAGGAAATTCCCGGGGAATTCGGGGACAAGTCCACCCGGATCCCATGAGCTGGTTCATTCAGGGGAATAATTCGCTTAGCGCGGCAATATCGCGCGACAAAGTGGAGACGAGCTCTGCCTTTGGCGGTGCCGGTGCATCTCCTCCCTGCCGGGTTAAATGCAACTAACTGCATCCCCGAAGTAGCTAGTTACCCTCGGCCCCGGTAACGCGCGACCGGTTGACGCCCTGAGACTAATTGCAACACCATAACGCCGCACAGAATCCACAATTAACGTTAATCCTCGTCTAAATCCTTTCCAGAGTAAGATTTACCCCTCGGCGGATGAAAATTCTAACCCAGAGTCGATTTGCCGAACCAATTGTCCAAGAGAAGCAGCTTGAACGAAGGGAGCCGATATCGTCCAACTTGGAGGTCTACTTGTTGAAGCCCGAAGCAACAGTTTGCCCTTTAAGCTCCTCTCTCACCCCTGCCGAGCTTTTCTCGATCCGAGCCTCGACAGCCTCTTTGATTCCGCGAGCTTCCGAGTTTCGCGCCTTATCTTCGAGTCTTATCACTTATCGCCTCGTCTTCGCATCTCGGATTAGCAGTTTCAGGGGGGAAAAGGACTCGGAGAGGACGAGTCCGCGCTTTCGAGAAAGCTTTCTCCTATTCCGTGTGTCACGATTAGCTGGGAATCGGGGGGATCGCGTTTCTCTCGGGAAGATCTCGGGGACCTTGTAATCAGGTTCGGGTCCATTCAGCGAGCAAGTGCACCGGCTAAACGAATCAATTCGGGCCGTCGAGACCCTCGACTTCTCGGGGACGACTAATTGAGAGTCGCGCAAGTTCAGTCGCCAAGTTATACCAAGGTCTCGTCGAGCCATTGACTCGACGAAACCGCGTTACGGATGTAGGCGAGCGACACTAATTGCCCTTAAATTCGAGGATCCAACTCCGACTTGAACCGAGGATTCGTCGTCCCGTTCGAGGATGACCCTCGATGTAATCACCTAGAAGGTGCGCACCTATTAAAAAAAGAAACAAAACAAGAGAAGCCCGAAAATTGAAAACCACCACCAGATCAGGTCCCGAATTTTTCACATCATTATCATTTTTCACAGTAATTTATGATAATAGTCTTGAATGTAAAATTTCGCAGAGACTTTTTATCTTTCTGATAAATTTTTATTTTTTTTTTTCTTTTTTCGATCATTTTTCCCCAGTCGACCCAGGGGAGCAAAGGGTTGGCGATCGTCACGTTTTGCGATAAATCCCTTGGACTGACGTCGACAGGATTTTTCTATTAGCCCGTGCTATCTTTTTCTCGTGAACACAAGTGCTCGGCCACGTATATATAGAGGCGTAAGCGTATATAAGCAAGTGCACGTACGTGCCCCGTTCATACACCGCTGAATGCGTGAGTACGTGCAATCGGCGTACGTGACGGCGCACTCCACGTACACGCTCTCGCAAACCTTGATATATTTTGATAATGAGGTCGGATGAGGTGGCGGATCTCCGTGGTCACTTCATCACTCTACGTGTCACGCCTGTCAACCGCAAACCAGCGCTGTCAATTCTAGAGAGAACCCCTTCAGCCATCGAACCGACGAGGAGGATTTAATTTCTCTTTTTTTTTTTTTCTCGCGGAAATTCCGCGAATTTTTCCCCGCCACGATTTTTCTCTCATTATCTCTCCCCGCGTTATCGCCGTACCGCTGATTAATAAAATGAATAACCCCTACCGCGAAGAGTATCGATTATAATTCCTGGAAATTAATTCTTCGTCCAAAGAGGATGACAGGAGTGGAAGTCTCTAGGGTTGGGAATATTTGTTCTTTTTATTTTATGGGAAGTCAGAAATATATGTATATACCTGACACCAGGGAAATTTCCACCCCCGACCGGTGGGGGTTGTTCGGTATTTAAATAACGACGAGGAGTAAGCTCTCGACAAACAGGCGACAGGGCGGTCATTCTTTCGATAATTACCGAGAAGATAAGGCAGGGAGGAATCGGAGCTTATAAGTGGTCCGAAGAGGAGGGAAAGAGAAGTGAGCTTTCTCTGAGAATAATGCACGCCCCCTTGGGAGCGGCCTTTCAGAAAAATGCTGATTGCTTCCTTCCCATCCTTCTTGTCCGTTCTGCCGCTTTTCCGAGTCCCCTCTTGTCACCTCATCGATCTCCGATTTTCCCCCACGAGGAGGGACATCGGACCAGGCTCATATTTGTCGATCGCGCCTCGTATTATCGCCGTTTCCGCCATTCATACAAGACAAACAGGACACCCTCGAAGCAGGGAAGAGAGGCAGAAGTATCCTTCCGCGAATAAGAAGACAAAGAAACGTTTGTTCAGAAAATTGAGTTCCGAGGGAGGAAAACTACCCCTTTTCCTGACACCTGCATATACGGCTCAACGACTTCTTTTAATATTTTTAATAATAAGAAAATTGGCAGTTTCGATATGCGATTCTTTTTTCTCGCAGGGGGTGGGTCCAAGGAATCCAAGGTATCCAGGGTGGTTCCCAGGGAGAGGGAAAAAGAGACGAATGCTAGTACCGAGCCTTTCACAGGCGATCGCGAAAGTGAGAATTAAAAGCATCCGCTAACTGAGTTATTACGAATAAAAGAGCGAGGGAGGAAAATGGAGGGGGCTAAAAGCGTGTCTTTAACACGGTTAATTGTGCACGGCCAAACGTGCGGATCGGGGGAATTAATTGAGGGCTCGGAGAGGGCGGAAACGTGACGCTTATTATCGCCCTCCATGGGAGAATAATTCCCCCGTTTCCCCCGATTTAACCAAGGCGTTCCCGTATTTTATTTCTCGCCGAGGAGCGGCGAGCTTTAAAGGGGCCCGATGGTCGAATGGAATCTCGGGAGAATTTCCCGGGAATTCTTGCAAAATTGCGGCTGAGTGGACCAATCCGAGTGATTGGTCCTGCTTTTACGTGGAAATGGTTCCTCCTCGGCGCTAATGCATCGCCCTCCTACGATTTGTGGAAATAAGGTCAGAAATCGAGGAAGGGTCCCGCCTCACCTCTCGAGAGGTGGAGTGCGGAGCTAATCAATTTACACTCTGCCTTCTTCTTCCAGAACAGTGGGTAGACGTTAGAGGAGGATGATAGGTGCAGAATGGAGCGGGTGGCTTCAACGATGTCGGGAATCACGAAAGCTCGTCCTCGTGATAGTCGCCATCGCCTTGCTGCTGGATAACATGCTGCTGACGACCGTAGGTGAGGGATTAAAATAAGTAATAATTTTTTAAAGAGCCGGTAATGGCCTCTAGGAAATGGAAAAATGGCCGCGGAGGGTGTAAAAAATATCTACCAGCCCAATTCTCCAAGGATGGTCGGATGGAAATAATTCCCCGGTGGATTAATCGAGACCCTCGGTCGGGTCTTCGGGGTCCTCTTCGACTATCGAGGCTCGCAATCCCGACTCGCTGGCGCGTGGTCGAAACTTTTAACGAGCGATTCTGGCTCCGGGTTTTTCTCTGTCACCGGTTAGTCCAACGTGTCCATTGTCGGCAAGGACTGACGGAGAAGCAGGACGAAGGGAGGGCAAAGGTTCCGCTCCTCGGGGTAGCCGAGGACGTAATTAGTTAAGCCGCTCCAGAGGAGCACGTGGATTGGCACAATACTCCCGGTTTCGGGATTAAAGTTGCAGGACCGAGCCCTGGTAAGAAAGGAGAGGGAGGCGGATCCTCCTTACGAAGTCCGTCAATTAAAGGCGCGTCCAATTTCATTAAGTCTCTACTTAACGCTCGGCCGCCTTCTGGCTACCGCTAAGTCTCCGCCATTGCGCCTTCGAGATCGCTGCTGTTTCTTTTCCTCCTCATCTCGGCTTCCTTTTTCCGCCCCCGTCGAGAGCTACCTCAGATTGCTTCCTGAGAGGATATCGTTACCCCCAGTAAAAGCATTCGTTAGGATACGTCATGCTCTCGGATTTCAATTTCGCCCCCTGAGGTGCATTCTTCAAGGCGCGGGGCAACCAAGAAACGCCCCCGAAGAGCGCCACCCCAAGCTCGTAGAATTTTCATGAAATTTCCGAAAACCCCTGAGAATTTTTCCAAATCACCCTGAACGGTTTCTCAGATGGAAAGGAAAGCGAGGATCTTCCGCATTGTGCTATTTGTCGCTTTCCAAGAAAACTCGAGTACCCACCTCCACCCTCAGTGGGTCAAGAGACGAGAAGGGCGGTGACGTTTTGTCCCAACATTTTAATGCCGCCTTGAATCCGGAATTTTATATCAATTTTCTAGGGTTGACCGCAGGAGTCAAAAGAGTGGACGCGCGTTAACGTCATCTCGAGAATATCCCTCGATACGTCGGAGGTTGGAAGAAATTGGCAATCATATTATAGAATATAAGTTCTGGTAATACTCCCCCCCCCCTGTTCCTCGTCCCAACCGATCGAAATCCCTCTTAACAACCTGAGAGCGGTCTGACAAGGATTCGCCGCGATTAGGGAAGGATCTTCCTTGGAAATGATATCCCGAGGGAGGACTCGTAATATCCCTCGGATTGTTATTCACGAAGGGGGTTGAAAAAAAGAGGAATTGATTATTTTTGCATCGCTTATTATTTAAGGTTTCCTCCTAAAGTTTTCATTATCGTTATATATATTTATTTGGAATGATTTCTTTTTATCCCTCGACTGCATCGCGGTGCACCTGGGGCTGCAGGGGGTAAGTGACGAACAGTTTCCCTCCTTTACCGGGGGCCTTGAACAGGGAGGGTAAAATAAAATCCTAAAAATCGAAGTCTCTCTTGGTCAACCGGTGGCCGGTTCCTTTTCCCGGCTTTTAACTTTCCGCCCTCGCTTTGGCACCCTTTCCTCGTGGGATCTTTAATTCAGCAGGCAATCCCCGTTTATGGGGTTTGGCCTAGAGGAGAGAGAACGTATGGGCCACCATGTGTCACGGCACCAATCCGGATAAGTGGTCATGCATTTATGGAGTGCCTCCATGTTTCGCCGGGATGTTAAAAGAAGTACCCGCGCAGAGTATACGTCTTAAAATAACATCCCGGGGTGTCCTTTCCATTCGCACATCTATTTCGCCTCTCCGTTCCATTCTTCCCCGAGGTCGATTTAATTCTTATAACGTCACCGCTTAATGATCCGTAAAAATAAACAAATCAATAAATAAATCGTCCCTTGCAAAGGACTCCTCACTGCCGGTTGAAAGAAATGGGAATAAAAGGGATAAAAAAAAATGTAGTCCTTCTGGAGGTGCTGGGATTTGAACCCAGGACTTTCAGCATGCGAAGCAGACACTCTACCACTGAGTTACACCCCCAAGGTACCAGATAGTTCGAATTTCGAGTCCATGGGGGCGCTCGGACCTTAATTTCCCACATTTCTATAATTATCGTTAACCTTAATTACTCTAAGTGGCTATAAACATTATTAATGGTTTTTCCTCTTTCCGTTGTTCAGTTCCCATCATCCCGGAATTTCTGTACGACATCAGGCATCCTAATGCTACCCTCAGCGAACATCTTGAAAATGCGGCTCCTCGTACTACGGCGGCGACGACGACGACGACGACGACCACCACGACTCCAAGATGTCCCTGTGCCTCTTCTAACTCGTCGAACAACTCGCAAATCGAATTCTTGGGCAGTTTTACGACATCCGCCGACGTCACAGGTTCCGTTAAAAGAATATGATACATTATGTATTTATGATGTAAGTCTCGGCATCGGGGTAAATGCACGGTTTAAAGGACCCGGTCTTATGCAACGATATTTCATATTTTCATTAAGTTTAACCCTCTGTTATTTACCGATGTATTAAGTGGAGAGTACAACGGTCAACCTGACGGCTATCGAGGAAGAGGAGAACCAACAAAGGCACAAGGAACTTCTCGAGGAGACCGTCGCCGTCGGCATGATGTTCGCCTCAAAGGCCTTCGTCCAATTGTTGGCTAACCCCATCGTCGGGCCGCTTACTCACAAGTAAATATTATCCCGGTATAATGCCGAATTCCTTAAACAGGAATACCTTAATTGGTCGATTGGAATTCTAGAATCGGCTACAGCATCCCCATGTTCACCGGCTTCATCATTATGTTCCTGTCCACCTTGATATTTGCATTCGGGCGAAGCTATAGTATTTTGTTCTTGGCGAGGGCTCTACAAGGCATAGGATCATCCTGCTCCAGCGTCTCGGGTAAGAGAATAATAAAGGTTAACTGTCGGCCTAGTGAGGTGGATTTTTTAATTAAACGTTACTTTCTTATATTTATTAAAGTATTTTAAATTCACTTGATATAGTATATATATTTATATTTATTTTAGATCTTTTCCGAACAGCATCGGTGGTTCAGTGGTAGAATGCTCGCCTGCCACGCGGGCGGCCCGGGTTCGATTCCCGGCCGATGCAATTTCTTTTTTTTTTCATCTTCTACTCCAATTTTTATTTCTTGATACCGAAAAAAAAAAATCACTGAATCATAAAAAAGGTAGATAGGGCACCTGAATATCTTTACGTGCAAATCGCGGGGAGCGTGGGACACTTTACAGCATAAAACAGGTGAAAATGATCTGTGATTATAAAACGTCATGTCGGTTTCCCGTCGTGACTTTGAAATCTGTAACGTGATGGTCCGATTGGTGCTGTCACGATGAAATTTACATAAATAGTCGAGGGGTGGGAATAGAAGCATACTTGCGCGAGCAGAAGCATTTAGTTTGAATAATGAAGATAATTACGAAATTACTGTCCGCCTTGATGGTGGTATTATTTTTGTTTGACATGGCGGAAGCTAAGGCAGCACCAAAGGCAAAGCCAGATTGGTTCTTTTTCGGTCAAACTACTACTACTACGACAGAACCGACCACACGGGGAGGATGGTTTCCTTGGATTGGAATAAAGGGTTAGTCAGTCGTGATCAAACATTAAACCATGTTTAATGATGTATAGTCGAGGTGGAGATGCAGAAAAATAAAGTGGCACCAATTTTACTAACTTAACGAGAACACGTCAGTGAAAGTCATCTCCAACCTGGAGGAGAAAGTCTGATTCCGAGGAGATCGTATCGACTGAAATAGACCGAACCCGATTTACCAGGAGAATAATGAACGTCTAATAAAACCGACTGTACACCGCACTAGTTCGTCATTTTAATATAATTTTAATTAATGGACTAATTGTATCGCATACTCTTCCTCGCGTTCCTCAAAAATATGTTACACTGTTATTTTCACAACAGTTATTGTATAAAAACAGGAAAAAGTAGGGCAGAAGTATTTTCGCCGTTAAAAGGTTACCGCGAATGGTGTAGAAATTGTTGAATAAATGGTAAAAAAAAAACAAAATTAATTGCATCGGCCGGGAATCGAACCCGGGCCGCCCGCGTGGCAGGCGAGCATTCTACCACTGAACCACCGATGCTTGTATGTCATTGAAATTAATCATTACCGTCGTTATCATTGATAATTCCCTACTAATTGTACTATAATACGTCTTCAGTTGACGCGCTGTTTACTTCACGTATTTTAGAATGAAATAAAAAATATTTTTAGAGCAAGAATTAGAGGGAGATTTTCTTTCGATGTCCAGGTATGGGCATGTTGGCGGAAAGATATCAGGACGATAAGGAGAGAGGCAACGCGATGGGCATCGCTCTCGGAGGATTGGCACTTGGCGTGTTAATCGGTCCACCTTTCGGAGGCGTTATGTACGAATTCGTAGGAAAGTCTGCACCCTTCCTCATCCTCTCGGCTCTGGCTCTTGGTGACGGATGTCAGTATCCTGGATAAATTAATCTCGACGAGTCGAGTCCATGTTCTATGAATAAGATCCATGATTAATTGGATGCCTAACTCATAAAAAATTCAGTGTTACAGCTGCTGATGCTTCAGCCCTCCGTCGTCTATACAGAGGCGGTGCCACCGTCTCTGAAGTCCCTTATCATGGACCCCTACATCGTGATAGCTGCCGGTAAGTTTCTCGATTTTATATAAAAATAATTATTTCGAATTAACGACGCCCGACGTTCCAGGGGCGATAACTTTCGCCAATATGGGAATCGCCATGCTGGAGCCGAGTCTTCCTATCTGGATGATGGACACGATGGGAGCGAGTCGATGGAAACAAGGAGCCACGTTTTTACCAGCCAGCATCAGTTATCTCATCGGCACTAATCTCTTCGGTCCCCTTGGTCACAAAATGGGCAGGTCAATACATGCATATATCCTTTTTAATCACTTGCTTCACTTTTAAAACGTTGGCGCCACTCGTGAAGCTCTATTTCTATTCTCTAAGACCCACTCGGTTGTGCCAAGGCGATAAGAAAAGGATTTCGAAATGCCCGGATAGCTCAGTCGGTAGAGCATCAGACTTTTAATCTGAGGGTCCAGGGTTCGAGTCCCTGTTCGGGCGTTTAATTATTTTTTTTTTTTAGGCTCTCGTTGTTAATAAAAATCTTATTACAGATGGCTGGCCTCCTTAATAGGACTTATCGTGATCGGCCTGTGTCTGATGTGCGTAAGTATCAGGGACAATGTGCTCGCCCTTGCTCTATAAATTTAGCCTAGACCGAATTTAAACCCAGAGATAACTCGTTCGAATTTTTTTGCCGCTTTAGATTCCGCTCGCGAGGAGCATAAATCATCTGATCGTTCCAAATGCTGGGTTGGGTTTCGCCATTGGCATGGTAGACAGCTCGATGATGCCAGAATTAGGGTACTTGGTGGACATTCGACATTCAGCCGTTTACGGAAGCGTCTACGCAATTGGGGACGTGGCATTTTGCCTAGGTTTTGCAATCGGTACGTAATTTCCCTTAAAAATTCTCCCGACGTACATTTTCTATCCAAACATTATATGCAATAACATTTCAACCGATAAACTGAGACCAACTCATATCTGGTTAATTATAGTGGTTTAAGCATGTCGCAAGTTAAATATCCCGGGATAAGAAACGATAACGAACAGGGAAGAACAAAAGAATTCGCGGCATCGCGCTGCGAACTCTGATAAGGTATGATGGAAAATTGGAAGAAAAATATTCTCGGAGGGTGTGAGGTGATAGGAGGGCCGAGGAATTGAAAAGCGAGAGAAAAAAAGAAACCTCTACCGTAACAATGTATCGAGAACATTGCCATGACCAGGATTCGAACCTGGGTTACTACGGCCACAACGTAGGGTCCTAACCACTAGACGATCACGGCTGTCAGAGGAATTGAGAGATCGTTGCATTCTTCTCGGGAAATTCCGCAGATGGAAAGGGTTAAGTGGGTCACCGTCCATGTTTCCACTATTCTACAAAAATTCGATAAATTTCGGATTAAAGAACCTAAGGACGATTGGTCATGCCCACGTTCCATAAACGCGGATCAATAACGCGTATTTTGGCGAAAGGAATTTTTCCGTCGCGAGTAAGAAATTAAAAAGGGGACGTGGTATTTGTTCCGCGTAATTGTGAGGTTATGGTCGAGTTTCTGGAAATCGGGGGAGGGAGAAAAAAAATTATTGCATCGGCCGGGAATCGAACCCGGGCCGCCCGCGTGGCAGGCGAGCATTCTACCACTGAACCACCGATGCGGATGTCAAGGAGATTTTAATGCGTGTAGAGTAGTAGTCAAGAAAGTAGGTCATTGAATCTCTAAGCAATTAGGCTTTACGCGTCATCTTATCATCATTCTACCTTAGAACAACGATATCAGTGCTCTAGAGTTTTTTAAAGAATTGATTTGCAGCGGAAGTGACGTTTAAAAATTTATTTCCAGGGCCTGCGTTGAGCGGAACTTTAGTTAACAGCATAGGTTTCGAGTGGATGCTCTTTGGCATCGCCATTTTGAATTTCATGTACGCCCCGCTCATGTATTTCTTGAAAGCACCGCCGACGAAGGAGGAGAGAAAAGTACGCCGTGATAATAATACCGCATTGCACGCACGTAATCATTACCTCGGATCTGGTTTCTGCATGCCTGCTAATTGTCGCCGAAAATAGTTTAGACGCTCGCATGTGTGGCAAAGTAAATAATTTTGTCGAACCGCTGACTAACGAATCGGAGATTTTTAATATTTAATAGATTTCATAAGGATCCCCTTGCACGCTTAAAAGTACAAATACTCACTTTTGATCGTTATGTGAAGTGAAATTAGTCTCACTGTGCATAGTAAAAGACAAGATGGCCGACATCTCCGGTGACTTCAATGCTTCGCTGCACGCCTTTTCGCCCTGCTAGTACGAGTGGTACTTCTTAAAAAATCACATTACGTGTGCTTTGGAAAATCGCGACGCTGTATTATGGCTTATGTGAGCCGAACATTTCCAGACGTGTAATCATACTTAAACATTGCAGTCTCTAATCATCGGCGAGAAATCGTCGGTGCGGTACGTAACGTACCAGAACGAGGAGGAGGAGCAGTAAATATAGGTTGTCGAAATTTGAGGGTTGATGGCGACCACTTTTGAGACCAATTCGTTAGCCGCCATCGAGGAAGAAACGTCCTAATTTTTTCACGCCCAGTTCCGCATTTTTTCTTTTCTTCGCCTTAGTCGCGTCCATCGATATTCGCTACTAGTAGGAGTTACAAAAGAACGTTCAAAGGGAGAGGTGTGTTCCTTTTATTTCCGACTTTCGAAGCTCGTCGAAGGGTCCTATACGCTTTCTGTGAATCAAAGCACCAACGCGATTGGAGACATTAGATAGACGATTGTTAGAGATTCCGCGATCTAAAGGTCTTTCCGAAATTTCCGTAGTTGTTAGACGAAGAAAAAAGGAAAATAAGAAAGTGGTTCCCCCGAGTGAGCCCGACCTTGCGAAATCGAAATTCCTCGAGGAAATTTAAGCTCCGAAATTAAAAGTCGTTCAACACAATCGCTCTTTCGAGGGCTGGAAAAATCTAAGGGAAAACGGGGAGGGAAATGTCGCAAACTCTGGAGCTCACTCGTCGCACCACCAGTGCTTACAATTAGTACTTTTATCACTTAATGGCCCACTGTCGACATATAACGCATGCGGCTACTCGGAACGCATAACGATATCACGTATACATATACCCGATAACACTAATCTAGATGAATGTCAGAAATCTCGCGGAAAAATTGTTGGATCGTCCGTCACGAAGTCGCGGGTTAGACCGCCATCTTTAACGGCGGTTCATTTTGCAGCTTCGTATCGAACGGCCCGATATGATCGAGCGAATGCCGCGCAAAAGGTGCTGTACTCTTAACGATCGCACGTACGCGAATGTGTATTTTAACGAGCGAGTTAGAACCCACGAGGAGCGCACGAGTTAACGCTGCACTTGTAGATAATCGCAACGAGCGTTAGGGCGCCGCGATGCAGGGATGCACCTCGAGCATCGCGGGTATATTTTATAAAGTAAGCCTAGCCGGCCTTCTCTCAGCTCGAGCATGACAATAGTCGTAAGTTGCATACGTGATAAGTGAGAAAACGAGAATAGGCAAGAGGCGCTGGAGAGGACAGGCTGGAGAACGCGTAGGGAAGTAGAAAAAGAGCGATAAGAAATTCAGCACCCGACTTCGACGCAGAATATAGAAATATCAGTACCGAGGAGAGCCGTGTGAGCTTTCCAAAATTCCAAATTCAACGTAAAAAGAAAAAGAAGAGGGGGAAAAAAAAGCACAGCGGAACCGCCCGGTCTGGATTCCCTGAATGGCTGCAGGGAAACCGTGCACCAAAATGGCGGCCGGGCGCCATGAAGAGTTCCCATTCGGCCTGCAAAGTTGGACGCCCGATTTCGGCCAGCGGCTTGATATTTCAAATCGCCGCGAAAGCGCACGAGCTTCCCCGGACAATTTTTCATCCCGAATTGACAGGACACGTGGAGAATGCGCGCGTTGGCGCTCGATCGAGGATAATTGCGATTATTAACCGTAGTTGTTCCGCTCTTCTTCGGCGAGCCCGAGCGCGCGCGTCCGCCCACGGCGTCGAGGACGTTGAAAACGACCCTCCAACGACAAAATATACGTAAAAGCGAGGCGCAAGGCGAGGGACGAATCTTTGAACTTCACGAGAAACTTAATGGGGATTCGCGGCAGAAGGCTCGGTCCGGTTGTCTTCGTTCGTTCGTTTTAGCGTAGAGGAATCGCGATAGCAAGATTTAAAAAAGGACTTAAAGAGACCCCTCTAGAGATTCGTAGAAGCAATACAAAGTACTGTACGCGTATTTATACGATCCTATATTACACGCATCTATATTACGCGGATATGCACGCAACGTACACATACATGTATACTAATTGGACTAGTACTTAAGGAGAGGTCAAAGGCACGCGCTGCTCTCTTGCAATTAGTGCTCGCTTCTTTGTCGTGGTGTACTTCAAGCCGCCGGTTGATCGCCGTTGGTCGTACGTCGTAAATGTGTTAAGTCACAAGTTCAACTATCGATGTACTCAATATAAAAAAGGGACAAAAAAAAAGAGCATAAGAGTTACGTGCACGCGTATGTGCGTCGAGATCCTAAGCTACTGAATGTACCACTGTAGGATATCGTAGAGTTTAGGGGCACTTTTAAGGGGGCACGTAATGGTAATTAATTATGACGTTATTGCACCATTGCACCGCGTTATCGCGTAATTGCACCGCGTAGAGAAAGTATACATATATATATAAATAAATAAATAAATATATATATTTATGCAGCGCACGAATTATACCGTACACGTGCGCGCGTTAAATTACTGTATCGAGAATTAGTGGATTACCGTTGATGATCTCTGGGGTCATTAGTGTAATACGTGTTAACGAGCTTATGAGGATGATGTCTACTGTACTGGCTCTCGTTTCCTCGTAGATTAGTTGGTCGCGGGGTCCGAAAAAAACATAAAAAAAAAATACCTAGAGACGCGTTAATTAGAATTCGAGATTCGGTGGAGGGTCGCGATTTTCCGGGGCCCGGCAGCGTCGCTTTTTTTTCTTGCTCGCTTTTCGTTGTAATCGGTCGATTTCAGTTCGGAATGCCGCAAAATGGACGTCGCTCGATCCACGGAAAATCGCGGGGGTTTCGCTAATACCTCAGCTTATTGCTGCGAATCCTTAAACTTAACGAGGACGCATTCGTGCGTCTACTCCCGGTATGAAACGCGAGTCAATTTTGTCCCTTGATTCGTCAGGCGCCATTGCGATCGCTAAGATATATTACATTAAAAAAAAAAAAAAGAAAAACAAAATGGGTGGAACCAAGACTCTTGGAGCAGGCTCTCGTACAATGGCGGAGAAACTTTTAGAGGAGTAGTTATTAACGTCGAATAAAATCGCGGAGAGATTAGCGGCGTGCGACCGGAATGACCAGACCGTCGTCGCCCTCGTGCTGCCGTAAGGGTCGCTTTCCCGGAGCTAAGTCACGGGAAAGTGGGCCTTATCGTGGGCGGAGGAGGCGACGCTCCAGGCGACTCTCTGCACACCGTAGGACGTGCCAATCGTGGTTCACGTGTTTTATTGATAATGTATTTTGTAAATATACCTCGCGAGAGTAACGTGGGCAGCCGTTGCCCAATATTTCGAAAGGGAGTACCGTGCGGTTTGGAGGAAACGACTCGGATAGTCGGGAATAATTTGGGGAAAGGCTCGTCGCTCTCTGTACGAGCGCTCGTATTTTATGAAAGTGGACGAAGATAAGAAAGGGTCGGTTTAGGTTTCGATGAATTTGTGCTCGCGGAATTTCCCATGATTTTCGATATTTCTCACGGGGACTCGTCGACTTTGTCGGCTGGTCAGTTTGGGGAAGATCTCTGCTCTCGTTGGACCGTTTGTTGACTGTAAAAAGCTAAAAGGGAGCCTAAGTAGAGGTCTTGTAGATAAGAGAAAAACCTATAGAGAGATCGGCGCAAGAGGCCGACGCTTGTCCGAATTGCCGATGCAATCAAGTGGTTTTTAACTGTAAAAAGAAGCTCAGCCTGCGGACGTAGGGTGTATCCATTGTATACAACGAACGACTCGTCGTTACTTTGACGTTGCAAAGTCATTAACAATTTTTCCCTAATTTTCTAGTTCCTACATTAAAAAAGAAATTCGGGAAAACGCGTCGAAGGAAAGTACGCGTGGATATTGTACAAAGCGAAGGTCTTACTTTTAACTTATGCTCGGCGCAAATTGACTAATTTCTTCATATCTTTCATTTTTGAAACGATCCGAAGAATGTCCCAAGTCTTACAGGCGCACTGTAGTAATTGTACCATAGAGACTCTCATTTATGTCACATGTACTCTACATGATAACCGTATATAACGAATTTCTTTTTCTTTTTTTTTCCTTTTTAACAGTATGTTCTTACTATCGACGTCTTGTCATAGAGGCGATTTGTAAACTGACGTCCCTAGCCCGTTGCAGATTGATAATGATTTTATCGGTGTGCTCGATTAGTGTCTCTGGATATTATCATTAATTAATCGGCAGTCTCGTTGACGGCATTGAATTTTCGGAAATTGAGGTAGAGTCTAATTGGAGATATAACAAGTGGACGATTAGAACGATGAAAGAGATGGAAGGGAAGAAAAAAAAAAAATTGATCGGGGGTTTGTCTTGTATTTATCACGTCTCGCGACCCCTAATTTTCATGCCGAAGCGAAATTAATAACTCGTCGAGGGCTGCTATGGTGAACAGACAATAAGCAAAGAATATGGAACTCCCCACGGTTGAGAAGGAGAACTTATCGAATCTTCGATTGAAACTGCGAGACTTAAGCTGCTCACGCTTCTGGAGTCGAAGTCTGATTTTGTAGACACTCGTGTCGAGGGAATTGCCTTTTCCGTATCCTCTCTTAAAAAAAATTACCGATTACAACGTTTAACCCTCTTCTACCTTCCCCTGAACGTCAGGGAGTGGTTCAAACCGTTGACAAAAAAATCTCTTAAAATTAATCGATGCCCTCATTACGATTTTAACAAGGAGCCAACGCAGAGAGCAATTCCCTCGAGACCGCGCAATTAATCCATTTTCTAATTAGAGAAGCTCCGCGCTCGCAAAAGCTTCCTTTCGCGGAGGCTTCTTGGATAACAAGGTGGCCAGCTTATAGTTTGTCAGTGACTTAGTCGCCTACGATAAGTAAATCATATCGTTGTATCGTAATGTCTAAGCAGCTGGTGTATGGGTCCGACTAATGCCTGTATAGTGGAACAAGTGAAGAAGCGGAGGAGAAATATTAGTACTTGTCATGATTTCTTAGTGATACGTAGTTTGGATATTTGTCATTCCTGACGACATTTAAAGATTAAAGGGTTCTACGAGGCGCCAGCTCCGAGGGTTGTTAAGTTAAAAAAAAGAAAAAAAAAATTGTCCAATTGCCACCACGTGCATCCGAGTATGCGTCGATGCGATCTCAGAAACTGCATTTGGATTTGAACGGACTCGATGAAAATTCATAGTCCATGAAGAAAATAGGCCTAAACATGTGAAAATCTCACGATAGAGAGGACGCGTAGAATGTTAACACCTTAAGACCGGAAACTCGGAATATCATATCGAAAACTGGCTCCAATAGTAAACTCTGATGATAACATGGTTCTACTCGACTAGCTTAACCGTACCGGAGTAACTCCACCATGTAATTGTAATGGCTGTACATCACGTCTATATATGTATATGGGAACTGTGTTGTAACTAATAATAAATAAATGTACCGATCGTTAGTACCGCTTTATATCTTTCCTAGCCGCTTATCAGCGGGCATACGAGGTCGCGGGTGGACGTCGAAGAGATTAAGATATACTCTTAAGAAAAATAATGGAAGGTAGAATTCATGAATTATCTTCGACGTTTTTCACGCTCATGTGCTGGAGTAGGTCTTCGTCGATGTCCTCGAGTCTCGTCTCACCCAGGGCGATTTTTTTTATGTGCTTCAGCATCTCCATCGTGACTTTCATGGTCCTCTGAAGCTCGTCTGCGAGATAATGGAATTAATTCATTACAGATGAGATTTATTGAAAGGGTTTTCTTTATCAACTGCTTCTAACTCCTTTCGGTGTGCAATACCCACCGATTCCTGGATGCTTGATTTTCGATACACTTGAATCCTCGGCAGGCTCTCCAGATTCCTTGATCTTCAGGAAGGACTTCTCGTCTGGGAAACGGGGGTTTCAACGAAGAAACGTGATTACGCGTGCGAGAAAGGCTGGATAAATTGAACCATTAGAAGACTCGTTCTCACCGTAATTTAAGTCCCTCGAAGCGAGAATCCCGTTTCGTTCCACCAGGAAATTAACGTCTTTCACGCGTTGATTGGTTCTCTCGAGTAGGGTCTTGTTCAGCTCCACGCGCTTCAGGAGGGTCTTTAATTGCAGCTGAATGCAATGACAATCGCAACGAATTCATGATTTATACTGTTCCGACAATAATTTCGAATGTAAATTGCGGGATAAATTTATGAATAAAAAAGGAAACATACGTCCACATCGGTAGGCTCTTTCTCTTCGGAGTGGGCCACGTCGTCGAAAACATTGCGCAAAAATGAAAACGGCTCCACCGGATCTTCTTTAAGTCTATGCACCGAAGCCTGCAAGTCAGTCCCTGACATTTCCTCGACATTGTATAAACACTTAGATTTTTTGGAATTTATCAGCGACTCGATGCTACCCTCGAGTGCAATCATTTCCGACAACGAGGTGGACTTGCGATCTACACTTGGCACGTCTCCTCCCTTATTAACAAATTCTTCCAAGGCTCGCTCTTCTTCGTAGTCCAGTACAGGTTGAGATTTCGAGTTGTCAAAATCTCCCATCTTGTCGACACTTTTCGGGCGAGTCTTAATGACTGCTTCACTTTTGAAAATTTTTCGCGCACAGGTGGAAGGTCTCGAAACGGTGAAGGATCCCTTGTTCTTCAGTTTCTTCTCGAATTTTCTTTCACCCTCGATTCTCGTAGTTCCTGACGCAGTAGATGACGTTCCTGGCTTCTGACTATATACAAAAATTCATTCCACCGTATCGGATTATTTTTACAATTCTACCCTTAATCTTTTGGTACGACTCAATTTAATTCGATGACGTTCCAACCTGGTCTTAGACGTGTCGCTTGAAATCTTCATGGCCGATTTCATTTCTTTCCTCGCAAACTTCGCATTCGCTCTTTTAATGGATCTTCTATCCTATTTATTATTACGATAGAAATTGTGATATCTTTTACGAGTTCTCTACTACCGTTTTCCTTAGGGGACATAGTGATAGATGTCTCGTTTCCATAGCACGCTTCTCGACATGTTTGATCGATTCTGAAGATTGGAGAAAATCCCGAACATTTCATCGTGATTCGGAGCTCTTCTTTTATTAAAAAAAAAAATCGTCGAGCTTGATATAACTCCTGTTACCGAACATTAATAATTTTAAATTCAACTTGCTAATAATTGGAAAGAGTTCCGTTCGCTCGTACGTAACATTTATTTTAGCACTTGTATATAAAACAGTTTAATAAAATTAATGATGTTAACACATCTATCTATTTCCTAATGACTATACTATCGGATGTTACTTACAAAATCGTGAGTGGCGTAAAGTGTTCACCACTCGAGAACGTTAATGAGTGTGAAACAAACAAATATCTTATTTCGCCGTGAATTCGTCTTCCTTAAAGAACTACGATAATATTCCCTAGCTAAACCCTCGCCGACTTACAATAGTTATACATCTGCAAGTACACCATAAACGTATCGCAACCGCTGAAAACTTTGGCAGCTTGGATTTTCGTATACATAAACATTGTTGAAAAGAGGAGAAATAGGAAAATTTTCGATGGAAAAAGAATACAAACGGATTATCCAAAATAATATCTCAGCGCATCTCGAATAACATAAACTTCCAGGTGAAATCTCACTGCAAGATTTAATCGGACTTACATAAGAAGCACCTACGGAACTTCACTGGACTTACACTTCCTAAGGTTTAAAATTGAGTGTTATATATTAACGCGATGTGTTTTGTAAAGGAATATCATATGGTTCTATGCGTGTATCCGGCCTGATACAAGCTTTTTCATACAGCAGCTTTGAAACCACTGACAGCATCTTTACGGACTGGCCTTTGAACAATTTTCCTAGAGGCTTTCCCCCAAAGATGGACGAAATTAACAGGGCAGAAAAACCTCAAAGTCTTATGCTCTATTGAAATAAGAAAATTTTCTCTATTCACCAATCTCACGGTCATCTGTACAGGTATTCATAAATTATTCGAAGCATCCTTGCAATTTCACACAAATGATACTACGATCACTCTCTCAATGTCGAAGAGAAATTCAAAGGCAGAAATCTTTCCACAATTCGCTCTGTTCGACTAATCGGTGGCGAAATATATCGCTAAATAAAACGGAAAGAGAGAGAGAGAGAGATAATTAAACATATCATGTAATATGCTCGGTACGAATACAATATCACAGCAGTCTAGAAGTATATAAGTCTAGCATCTTCAGGATTCTGTTCCACTGGACAATACGGACACTTCAGCCTTAAAACAGAACGATTAATAAAAATATTGTTCCGTTGATAATATATAGAATGTAGTGTTTTTTCAATCGACTTACTTGTTCGAATTAGTGAGTTTATTAAGGGCATCTCGCGATATCACATGACCACAGACAAGTTTCATCGGAGGATTGTTCTCGGTGCTCTGCTGACGCAGAATTGGACAAGCGAACACCGAATGGTAGCGACTCTGTTTTCCCAAGTCAATCTCGATCTGTTAATGTTTATTTACTTAACGATTTAAAATACTCTTAGTATTAAGAAAAAAATTAAATTCATAATATACATTACAGGAGTTAATCTAATTAAATCATTTCTCACCGGAAGTTCATCCTTTCCATTCCAAATACCGGTTACTTGTCTCTGCTGCATCACTTGTTTTATATTAAGAAGAGCAGGAAGGGCAGTGCACCCTGCATTGATACTGTGGATAAAAATTTATTTATAGAATATGTGAATATGTCGAGTACCCAATTTAAGCAGGCCGAGAAGCATACATACCACACCGACAATGGGCTATCAACACTTAATCCAAGTAATGTGCACGCTTCCTTTGTAAACACGTCATGAATATCTAGCCACCGAGTGGGGTCTAGCAAGTATCTGTACGGGGATGACTGAATACCATATGGTAAGTAGAGTAAGGTTCCCATCAAAGCTTGAACCTCTTTTTCATGGCGAGTTACAAATTGCGTGAGATTTTTGCGAGCATACATAATTGCTTCGGCTTGTTTGCTTGGACCTTGTTGCACCAGTCTTATAAAATGTAACCTATGTAATTTAAATTCCAGCGAGGAATTCTGAAATATATTAATATGGGATTATAATTCCATATTTTATTGGTTCCGGATTGTTCAGTAGCATTCATGAATAAAGAGAAGTCTTAGATAAAGGACAACTTACTTGAGCTAGAAGAGCCTCTCTGTGATTTCTAGCCCATTCAAGTGCTGGCTCCAGATTTCTTTGTTTAAGGCAATCGAGTATATAGTTTAATTCCGTAAATGGTTTCTTTTTACTCTCGTCAGTCATAATTCCAGCTTCCTAAAATAATGTATTGCATTCATTATGTGTAAACAGCCCATTTTATTTTTATAAGAAATGAGGTGACATCTAAAGTATTTAGCAATGTTAAATGATTTAACAATGCAAGCTTACCGCAGCTAGTTCATCGGCTATGTCTAGCATTCCTTGGCGATAGAAATGTTGACAAATGACTTGGTTGAGAAGATGCGTCTTGTCGGAGAATACATCCTCTCTACTAGTGCCCGCAAAGTCTGCTATGAAATTTCTGTCGATCGCCTTGCCCACTTTCGAGACGGTACTGTGAAGATCGCGATGATCCGTTGCTAGTCGTTGGACTGTATCTCGTACTTTCGTCATAGCCTGTTTTAACACTTGTATCTGTCCAGGAGTCAGTTCATGATCAGCTGGAGCTGAAAAAATATTACTTGTTGTACAGTACTGCACATAACTGTAACAAGTGATAAACCTCAACCCTTTCAATCGTTCATGATATGAAATGATATTAATGCAATATTATTAATATTTTCTTCCCACATTATCACGTATATCTGCGAATCACTTGTATAATTTTTTCCACTCTATTCACTATAGTAATATATGTCTAGAATCGACAAGGTTCTCAACTTTACCCATCCCTTGTTTCGAGTGGTATACAGTTTCACCAAACATCAACAAAGATAGAGTTACTCTAATAAATGTATTCTTTCGGATTTGCACCATAACTTTAGACAGTCCTCGCTGATATACAATAATGTTCTTTCCTCACAAAGTACGTGCTCGCAACGAAAACATGCATTCTGTTTTAAATCTTGCTCAGCAGGTGAAAGTTATATAGTTTTCGACATGTTGGCTGCGCGTCCAAACAAGGTTACGGCAACAAACACAGCCAGTTATCGTTAAAGCATTCGTTGTGGTAATATTCGGAACTTTAATGCGAGAAAATCAAAAGAACAGAGCTCTGGCCTTGGCTAAGCGAGATATTTCCAGGAATTCCGAAATTTTGTTCCAACAAACGAGGCTTTGCCAGGGGAGACACTAACCATCTTCCAATTCCTTTTTTAGAGATTCGATATGATTGATTAAATCCCGCAGCACAGTGTCCGCGTGTTCGTTGATAGCTCCAAATTTCAGTAGAACTTTGTCAACTTCGCGCTCGACAGCATTACACGCCTCCATTATTGTTTTTCTCATTGAAATCTACGCGTCACTTGACATCCAACAACCCCCAACTGCACTTTCGAGTTCTAATTTGGGCAGCACTGTGGCGCCACGATCGATCTATTGCGCGAGCTTTCGGCTGACTGCAGCGCTGTGAAATAAAGCCTGTTGCCGGTCGAACCGATACGTGATTGGCTGTTCCTCCTAAAGGAGCGCTCTGATTGGTTGCTCGGTATCATGTACGTAAATTAATCGATACTTGTACAGTTTAAATAAAGATTTCTCGCATCTAAATATAATGAAGAGAATACTCTTTCTTGAAAAGTACCTTGCAAATTGATTTTTGTTGTCTGACATTCATGCACTGATGCGAAAAACTTTTTTACATAAGGGAAGTTCTACTCGAGAGAAAAATATTTATTGTGAAGTACTCGATATGATTCCTAAATTAAACATAACGCTTTCCAGAATGTAATACTGAGTCCTGCTGCTAGAATAAATATTTTGAGGCCTCCGTTAACACGCCCGACATGGATCCATCTCGTTGCAAAAGAAAAATACAGATGAACGAGTAGTCGATACAGCGGGGTGAATTAATCACATTGCCGTTGCTACATTCGTATTATACATAAATGAATTACAGTTGTATACCACATGTAAGGATGCTGCTTTGCAGGGGCTCCTATAGCTCGAGGAAGTATTACCTCATGAATAGACAAAATATTTACAAACAGAATTGTAAATAATGGAATTTACGTCTCAATTGGATTGCCCTGCAACAAAAATTTTATTATTTCACGTGCATCTAGAAATAAGAAATGTATTAAATACACACCCATTCGCGAGCCATTATAAGAATAGTTGTATTGGGCAGCTTAGGTCCAATCAATGGATTCATTTGCGCCATGTAACAACATAACCAGCTGGAACAAATGTTCAAGCGTTATTTACATGGAAAAAGAGAACATATTCTTGACAACAATTAAAACAAATTAAACTACTTACAACAACCAACAAGTAAATGCCGTCAACATCAAAATAGCTTGAAGGATTCTGAAAAATACAACAAGTATTCATAAAAATTAATTCCAGTACATCGAATAAATCAAAATAATTAAACGAGAAGTTAACGCAATGAAGTTACGGTTTTTCTGGCGTCATGGAAATCGGAGCTAATCTGTCAATGGATGAAAACCCATCGAACATTATTGTGACAAATATATTACAATTATCTGACGTTTTAATATCCAGAAAACTGATGCAGATTCCTGAAAATGGGTTGGTCTTTCGATTATGTTTCTTACCCCCGGTTAGGACCTTTTGGAACGAAGAACGGTAAGACGATTCCAACCACGCCCCACAATATTGAGAAAATAAGGACCGGTGCAGCAGACGCTCCCATTTCTGTTCTTCTAATAAATCACTTTGCAAACGAAAACAAAGTGTTTTATATGTATTCACAGATGATTCGACCAGACGGTCCCTGGCTGTCCCTGATTATTGAAGAGACGAATCACATGATCCTTGTGACGGCAAGGATAAAGCATTCGGAGGGACCTAGATGAACAATCTATTCTAATTTGTAGTCACCTCATCATGAAATAGCAATATTAGTTCACGAATGCAGGGAGCGCTGCAATCGAAGAAATAAATTGCATTGCGAATATGGATGTACTTAAATAGAAAAATAATAGATGGTGGCCCATCATCATGGCGATCCCCTAGGAAATGCGACGTTCTGATTGGTCCAGCGTCAGCCAATGAGAGGCTAGGACGTTCTCGAAGCTGGCGCTATTTTTCAAAACTATTTTTTCGCACTGTCGATCGTCATAACGATTGAACTACACCTCGTTTTAAGCGTGGATTGAACATTCCTTCAGGACGTTTCTTGCTAAAGAGTGTCGTGCCTTGCCCCTGTCCAACTTCGTCAGTTGCCGCGTATAATGTCGGATATTGTGCACGTAGACCCTCGCTACGAGAGATTTAATCAAAACAGTTACAGGCGAAAAACTATTAAATCAGCTTTTAAAAAGTTGTGTGAGGCGTATTTTAAAACGCGACAATACGATCTCGTCGGTCTCACTTGTGATTAAGTGGATGTCGGGTTTATCGACATCACTTTGGAAAGGCCGAGAAGTTCCAACCGCTCGCCGAGGGATGGTGCCACCGGCGCGACGCCATAACCGCGCCGGGAATTTAAACGACCCTGACGGAACAAATCGAAATGAATACTTGAACGGAATCGGTTAAGACGCGATTACGTTGCTGCTTTCTTTCAGCTCCATAAAATCCAACATTTTATCGTGCCGCCATACACTTTTTATTATCCAGTTTCGCGATAACTCGAGGTCCCACAGTTCCTGTAATTCCTCGCGAAGTTGCGTCGGGGTAAGCCGGCGTCGCGGGTGAACCGCAGCCTGCAAATGCATTCAGCGAGTTCGAGCGGCCCTCGGTAATAAATTTCGCTCCATTCCGATAGCGCATAGGAGGAAGGGCTCGATAATCCCGATGCGGATTTTCGCGTCCTGGTTTATAAGCAATCCCGTAGGTGGTCAGGGACTGGCGAACCGCGGCCGAAATCCCGGTGCCGAGTCGCGAGGAGCCGGCCCGGATTCGGGGAGAGCGGCGAAAAGTTTATTGCGAGGACGCCCAACTATGCAGCCGCGGTTTGCCCGCGTCGGGCCGGTATTTTGGCACGCGGCATCCGATTCGGCGTCGGCGAGTTATTAACTTCGAGCGCTTGTCTCGCCCCGGAGGGGGTGCGGGAATCACGCTCGCGGTTTCGAGGACGATCGTCGACGTTTCCACGGGCGCAATTCGGTACACGTGGCGCCATTAAAGGTACCCATTTCTTTTCTTTTAACCACAATTCTTGCGATAGATATGAAGGCTAAGAATACGATTTAACATTTTGCACATAATCGGAAGACCACGTAATCCCGATTTTACTGATCGAAAAAAGGTACGCCATCTTTCCATGTCATGTGTTCCCCGTCGAGGACCATAAACTGCGTATTTAAGATTTTTGGGGCATTCCGAAGGCGCTGTAAGGAAAATTCAGGAAATCTGGCAGCCAGCCGAAACGTTGCTCCCTGTACAAGTCTAGTGGGGTGCGTGGCCGCGAGAGGACGCGGCGGGCGCCGAAGAAGTCGGATGCTGCAGGGCGGAGGGATCGCAAGGCGCATGCGCGGATGTCCCGACCGCTCCGGGGTGGTTCGCTCGGACCATCTCGGACGTTTAACGCACCAGTCTTCGGCGAGCCTCGTTCGCGTGCGGGTCTACGTACGTATATCCGGCGCCCGGCCGGAGGTTCCTCAAGCGCGCCGCTATAACCTCCAAATCTGGAGGTTGGACGGGAAAAAAAGGACTTTTCGAGGTGATCACGTGACCTGGAGGAGTACAAAGTTAGGGTGGACATTTTTGGATTCTGTGCACCTCAGGGCAGTGATGGACATTTTTCGTGCCAGTAAAAAGTTTCCAATGGATTAAACGAGGGGAGAGGAGGGTCAGTTAGGGTGTCCCGATCGGCGATAAATTTTAATAATGGATTGTTAGTGACGATCGTTGATGATTAGGGGTAATTAGGGATTGTTGTCCTTGTTTGAGGAATCAGTACGGTTAGGGAGACAATATGGGGGGATTAGGAGTGGAATGGCGGTGTTTAATTGGACGCTCGGTGCGACCGTTGGGGTTCGGGGTATTTAATTAAAAATGAGATGCTCTCGATTGGGCCGGGTTAGGGCGGACCTTTGGTCGAGGTTCTATCCGCGATAATTCGAGAGGAATCGGGGCCCGGCCGAAAAGGGCGCGGTTCTTTTCCGAGGTGAGGCTTTCCGACGCAAATTGGCTCGCGCGACGTGCGATCGTTCGGCAATGCGACCGACGATCTCCAATGACGATTTTCGATTTTTAGTTCGTTAAACCTTGATTCGCTGGACACTCGTAAACGTGCCGAAGATTTTAAACCGCTCGTGGGTTTTTGAGTAATTTTACGTTTACTCATAAAACAGTCCTGATTGATATTATTGATTTGTTTTTTTTTTTTTTTAGAAGAGGAATAGGTGGAACTATTATTTTGCTTCTCGAAGGGTACAATAGGAGACGCGTCGAGGATAACGTAACTATCCTTCCTCTCTCTCTCTCTCTCTTCCGTGGGGGAATAATTTCCCGCAGATTTCCGGCGGCAAAAGGAATTTCTGCATCGGCAAAGGGAAATGTTTTCCGCCGAGACATCGGGGGGATACGTGCTCGAGGAACTCGGTGGTTCGTGTCAGTGACTACAGAAGAGGTTGACGTTGATCCTCGAGAGACTACCCGAGGTGCACTCGAGCCGCTTCTTTTGTCGGGGAAGAAAGCAGGGATGAAGAACCCGTGCAGGGCTCGCGAGGAGTCGCTCTCGGGCCCTCGTCTCTAGGACGTTTGCGTCTCGGGTTGGCGACACCGAGGCGTCGACGAAGAGGACTCTAATCGGCCCTCGACCGATTAGAAGCCCCGAAAACCTCGATTTCCAGACCCCCCAGGGACGACTTCATGAAGGTTTCCGGCATCCGGCGGCGGGGCGCGACTTCGGGGACGGGGATTCCCGAGAAATTCGGGAAAAACCGCGACAGACCCGGAGGGATGCCCTGGAGCTTTAAAACCCGCGGTGAACGTCGAGGATAAGGAAGAAAAAAAAAAAATCGGAAGGTGTCCTTCGGGATAATCGGCCGAAAAATTCGACAAGGACCACCACCAGGGCCGCGAGAAAGACCTCTATAAAAACCTGAAGAAGACCTCGAGAAGATCTCAAGGACTCCCCGGGATAATCGGCGATCGACCGGGGAATTCCCTGACCCGAAGAGCCACTTCTGGACCAGTGCGCTAAATTGATAACGTGCTCGCTTCCCGGAGTAATCAAACGTCCTCGGCGACGCTCGGAGGAAACGCATTGTCCCGGGTCCTGTAATAGCGCCGCGTAATTACTCTCGCCGAAATTATTTCCGACCCTCCTCTTGGTGGTTCGCCGAGGCGGCCGAGTCGTCGCCGAACCCCCGGCGGATTTTTCGCCCGGAACGAAACACGGATCCCTCCGACTAGATCAATGAAACGTAATTGCGTATGCGCTGTTGGCTCAAAGAAGCTCGGCCGCCGACACCGCGCTCGGGAGCCCGCGTCCATTATGGTAATCGTAACGATCCTTTCCGCCCGGGCTGATTCGAGGTGGGATTTTTATCGCTTTTATCGCTCCTAACGAGGGTCCGCGAATCGCTGTCGATTCGTTTATTCGGGAGGTCGCGATATACAGGAGCGGGGCGAATTCCGCGAGTCAACAGAATTCCGCGAGTTTCGTGCACTGCGGGGAGTTTGGAGATTAGGGGCGTTTTACGTTCCGAAGATCCGCCGGAAAGTGGAGATCGGAATGAAACTCGCCCGCTCGGGAACGGGACGGCGGATATAAAGAGAACGCTAATGTCGACCTCGAGCGAGTTACGATAATTGGACGAAACAATTGGCATCGGGCGGATTGGATTCCGATCGGACTCTCGGGTCGGCCGATTTACGGGGGACGTCTCGTTTCGTCCCCTTTCCCGCCATTTCCGGGGGGCGAGCACGCTCTTAATTCCGCCGGCGAGGACTCTAATCGAAATTTTGACCCTATTGGGACCTTTATGACAGACCTTAACTTTTAACCAGAAATTGGACCACTTTGCGCGCGTAACTCGACCCTTCACCGTATTCTTACGGGAGCGATTAATGACGGAAAGGAGAGGAAGGAAAAATCTGAATTTGATTTTCTGAGGAAAGAAATTGCCATTTCTTGTACACCTTCGCGATAAGACGACGGTGAGGGAAAATAATCTCGATCTCGAGTGATGGTCAAGTGGGTTTTTTACGTGGCATAAAAAAAGGGAACTTGTGCAAAATCGAGTTCCCACGAAGGTTCCAAGTAGGGTTGAAATTACGACTCGAGGAGGCCACGGAAATCGGAGAGTTCGTTTCGACCGAAGGGTGGACGAGCTTTCCGGAGGAGAACGCCTCACCGGGGATAGCTCCAGACGACGAGGATGGGCTTTTTGGAGGGATCCTCGAGACTCGAGAGAACTTTCGGGACGAAGGACGAGTGACCTCGAAAATAGGGGAGCCCTTCGAGGCAGGACTCGACTCGGCCAGGGACTCGACCTCCGACATGTGAGCTTCGCGAGAGGAGACGTCCCGAGAGGTCTGGCGACGAATGGAGCCCCTCGGGGAAACGACCCCTCGATGGGGCGGTTCGCAGCCGTCCTTATAAAAGGAGCCGACCCTTGCTCGCGGTAGAGGAGGCGCCCGAGGACGCGGAACGAGCGCGTCTCAGCCTCGCCACGACGGACCTCGAGGACGGGGACGAGGGCGAGGACGACGGCGCGGGTGGCTGAGGAAAGATGAGGAACCTACTGCTGACGCTGGGCCTCTTGTTCGCCGGTGAGTTCCGCATCCTCGACTCCGTCGGGTCCCTCCTCCCTTCTCAAGGGAAGATTTTTGCCCTTTTAAAGAAACCCCGTGAATTAAATGAAGAACCCGCGATACCGTTTCCACCCTGCGAGTGGTACTTACAATTCGAGGGAAATTATTTATGGGCGGTGGTTACAGGTTCTCCGGGATGGATATTTTGAGTGGGGAGCCGTTGGCGGGGGTTCGAGGCTTCTTGAGTTTTTGGACCTTTTTAGGGTCCGTCCGGCCAGGAGACTCAGGGCGGGCGGACAAAGGGGCGAGGGAATCCATCCCTGGGATGAAAGGAGAGCCCTCTTGAAAAGGGGAACCCGGAACCGGGGAGTGTTCTTCCCGTCTGATTTTCCTCCCCGGGCGCCCGGGGCGTGAAAAAGCCCGGCGCCCAATGACTCGAGAACGCTCCCCGGCTCCTCCGCTCCTTTATCGACCCCCTGGTGCCCCTCCCGACGGGAATCCGAATCGGGGAATAGACTCCGGATAGTAGGCGGATAGGCCGCGGTTATCGGCGGGTCACCCAGGTCCATCCGAACGTCAACCCGATCGGGCCTTCGATTGCATCGGATGAATTTGTCGAGTCAACGAGTCGTCGTATCGACGCGTTCGGGCCATCGACGGGGCACCGGGTCCTCCCTTGGGCGACCATGCCACTGTGAAACACGGTTCTCCCTTCCTATCGTATAAAAATTTTCGACCGAGAGATCCCCCTCGCGATTACTCCACCGCGAGGTCCCAGCATCCAACGATCCAGCTGCAGATCGCTCTGGAAGAAGCAAACGGTCGGCCACGTTTGCGCCCATCCATCATCTCGAATGGGGCGTTGGCCAACTCTTGCTTGCATTTCCACCCCGTGAACGGTTTCCCCTGCCTTGTCGGTGGACCCTGCGATGACGTCTCGGGATGACGAACGACGGTGCTCCTAAGTGCCTCGAGGGTCCTCGGTGCATACGGTTGCATCGTGTAGTCCTCGTAGCGCCCCGCCGCCTTCCTCGTCTCGGGAATCCAATTTCCCTTTAACGAACCGAACATCCCATGTGTACGAATGAATAAAATTCGATAATATTAAATTCATGGTATTCTTGACGGGGTATGAGATGGGATTTTTGTTCGCTTCAGCCCAAGGTCCTGGCCGGTGCGCATCCGACGACGACAGCCAGGAGGACAGGGACTTCGAGCCCTTGGACAGGGGGCCCTATTTCGACGTCGCCGCTTCCCACAACGTGACGGCCCTCGTCGGGAAGACTGCTGTTCTGAACTGCCGCGTGAGAAATTTAGGAGACCGCACGGTACGTACGTCTCGTCCCCATATTCCGAGCAGTTAGGGAACGAACGCGTTGTCCGACCACCTAGGGCAAATACCCTGCCAGTGTAGAACAGGACGACACGTTTAGCTTCCTTGTCTACTTAGGCGCACGTTGCGCACCCGCTCGAGGGGACGGCGTCCATCCCCGTGTTTGTGCATCCGAGCGATGGCTCGTGTCGAGGTCGAGATGCGGAAGTGCAGCTCGTTGACTCGTCGAGGCTGCGGCCAAACGCAAATGGCACGGGCAGGGATGACAATGACGGCGATGAGGACGATGACGATGACGGGAATCGCGCCACCTGCGGCCCCGGACTCGCAAACGACCGGTCGATGATCATCGACCGCGATCTGGAGCAAACGTTGGCCTTCATTGGCGGTACTCCTCCCCGTCTACCCCGATGACCGGGGGATAATCGTGCTCCCGTTTGGCGCAAGAACCGCCAGCTATGCGAAAGCACGTCCTGGAGGGTGTTCCCGGGATCCTTTCGCGGGGATACCGCCCCGGAGAGACTGGATTCCCTCGGGACCCGGTGAAATCGAGAGCGGGATTCCGAAACGGAGCCGCGCTTAAACGGGGGTAAATACTCCAGAGCGACCTCCAGGTTAGCCCTCGTTACCCGCCAGGGTTTTGAATTTTGGATGGCCCCGCGACGGGGAAAAACCGGGATATCAAAGGTGGGACACTAACCGAGCGTCGTTGGGACCCGCTCCTGGAATTAATCAGGGAGCCGGCTGGTTAAAGGTTGGAAGCTCCTACGAGTGCCTTTTTAGACACACCCTCGGCGCAAATATGCAAACGAGGTACCTGTTCCCGGATTAGCGACCGGGATGGTGCGGGGATCTCGCCGCGTTTTTCGCGACCAAGATGCGGAGGGACCGGGAAAAACCGGGAACCGCGTCCCGCTGGATGCCGTCCCCTGAACCAGGAGAGATTTCCTCGTTTTTCCCGGATGTGGGAAACCTCTACAACCCTCCACTCTCACCCTTCCTTTTTTATTTATTTATTTCTTTTTTTTTTTTCGGCGGAACCAGAGAAATGTTTGGAAAAATGCCGACAGGGTGAAAATTCTCGTCGGACCTGGCCCCCTCGATCGTGCTGTTTCAAATTTGAGGGCGTTGTATTTATTTGTTTATTTATTTATAAGGATTATCGTGGATCGCGATCCTGCGAGCGATGGCCGGCTCGGACGTATCCGTGCAGCAAGGAACACCGATGGAAATCGATTCGGATTACTGGGGGAATTTTGATAAATTTCCGTATCGATGCATCGATGCATCGATACATCGACCCGGGATGTGTATTCGAGCCGAGCTCGAAAGGTCCAGGTCCTTTCAGGACCTCGTAGGAAAGGGGCCATTCAAGGGATCTCAATTCAAGCTTGATTTTTCAAATTAAATCCCTGGTGTTTAGACCCCTGGCGTTTTTGTCCCCCTTCCGGGGAAAAATCGAGCACGGTCAAACGCGACCTCCGGATAATTGGTTATCCCGTCGTTAATGCAATTTCGCGGCTCGGCCCTTCTCCGCCATCGTACGGGGTGCAATCACTTTACGTCCCCTTCCCCTGCGTAAAAAGTAATCAGTGAATTACGAGGGCGCGGAACGACATTAACGAGTTAACGGAGTTCTTTCGAGGCTCGGGGAAATATTTAAATTGGATCCCGGATGTCGAAAGTTCGCGGGCATCTTTCCACGAGAAAGTTTCCCGGTGAAAACCGCCTAGGTGTGTTGGGCGCCTTGATGTGCGGCGCTTTTGGTTTTTTACCTTCGCGTATCGTTGGGATTACTCTTTGCCGGGAGATTTACCGATCCCGAGGGCCCTTTAATTACGCAGCTTCCTCCTGGAGATTCGAATTTCGGTATGAATTTTTTTTCCTCTTTCTTTTTTTCATTTCAATTTATATCCTCCTCCTTGGAGATTTTCAGCGAAACTGGGCTTTTAAATCTGCGCGAGATGGCGTGGGTATGCCGCATGCACGTATTTATATATACATGTATTACTGGGTTATGATTATTATTTAATATCTCTTAGACACTTGGAGCGCCGTATAACGATGATTTGAATTTCTTTTTTTTTTTTCTCTTTTTCGCCGATCCTCGCCTCGCGAAATTATTATATTTGCCGAATACAAGGTTGATTCCAACCTGGCCGGATGTCGGAAGTTTGAGGGCTCCAAGTGTCTAACTTCTCGCCTCGCGTTTCGAGATCCGAGCTGTTCGTCGTTTAACGCCTTAACGCCCGTCGACACCCCTCTGACGTCGAGGGTTTCTCTTGTCGACCGAAATTCGAAGTCTGGGATGAAATGTTTAGCGGGGACCATTGAACCCCCTCCCCGGAGGGCCCCGTCGAACCCCGGTCCGAAATGGAAAACCGCTTTTCTGAAAACTCCCCGGAAGAATGAACCGAACCGATTGACATTGGCGTTAACGACTCGGAGATTCGGGAATTCGGAAAAATTCGTCATACCCCGAAACACCAGAGGAGAGAATTTTTGCCAATTGTTTTGTCACGAGGCGTCCGGAATTTTCAATTTTCCCGCAATTTTGAAGAAACGCGTTGCAGACGGGATGACTTCGTTACACGTATTTCGAATGGAATTCCTTTCGAAGACGTGCCGTTGTTTCGAGGTTAACGGGCAATCGAAGTGGGCTGAAAGGCAGGAAGAAATGGAGGCCCTCCGTTTCGCGTTTCCTGGAGCTGGTCGTTGGGCGCGTTAACGCTCTTTACGCGGGTCCCTTTAATCTCGCGGGTGCTCAAACGTCCCGCGGAATTAGAGCCGTAGGATTAATCGAGAAACTGGGTGCTACTCGTTGTGGGCCGGCCAAGGGAGAAGGAAGGAGATGGAGAAACCGGAGTAAGAGAACCGAGCGCGAAGACACGTTCCCCTCGGGGACGAAACAAAAGGGCTTAACGACGTGAGGACCGAGTTGAAAAGAGTCGCGCGAAGAACGTACACATTGAGGGAGTTTCGCGCGAGCCGAGAGCTAACCAAGCCGGAGCTACCCCGAGAAACTACCTAACGAGGCCACGGACGAAAACGAGCGGCCAGGCCGAGCTACCGGGGCAACTAACGAACGAAACTACCCAGGCAAATATCGGCCGATCGGTCCACGAAGAAGTTGCCGAGGCGCGTGATGTGACTACCGAGAGAGGAGAAAGAGGGGAGATAACGGCGTTGAACGAAACTACTCGGGCGGATGCGGAACGAGAGGCGGCTTCGATATCGGAGGGTCAGGGAGGAGAGGTAAGAGCCGGAGACAAAAGCGAGGAGATAAAGGGGCACCGATAAAGGAAGGGAAAATTATTCCAGTAATTATTTTTTTCGAGTAACGCGTAGTTAGTAGGCAGCTACGAACAAGCGGAATCCCGAAGCGAGGCTTGCCGGAGGAGACCGGGAGGGACGCGTTCCATGGGGACGGGACAAAAGGGCTTAACGACGGGACGGAGATGAAAAGAGTCGAAAAACATGGGCGAAAAACGAGGGGACCTCCCGAGCCAACGGAACTACCCGACGAAACACACCCGGCGAGGATTCTTAACGAGGCTGACCCGCGAAGATACTCGACGAGGGCCGCAGAGAAATCCGTTTGCCAGGTTTCTTTGGAAATGGACGTCGCCTACCCTCGGCGTGGATTTACCGCGGGGTCGTATATTCCTAATATAAATTCGTTATGGTTTCAATAACGGCCGAAAGACTTTGGGAGGGAACGCCGACGATCGCTTTGCATCCGTTACCCCGTACACAATACTCGGCCGATTAACGGCTGGCCGTAACGGCGGCGTCCGATGATATATAAGAAGCCGTTAAACGGTAACTACCTCTCGCGAAAATAGCCGGCGTACTTAAGGCTCTAATTTCTCAGCGTAACTACTCGGCGCGCAACCGTTCGGCCGAACTATTTCCCCGGGACTAGCGGACTATTAACTGCGAAACTAGCCGTTAGTCGTTTGTCACTAACGCCGGAAGAAAGATGGCGGCCCTGGAAACGGCGGAGGAGAGAAGCCGCGAAGACACGTTCACCCGGAACGAGACAAAAGGGCTTAACGACGGAGAACTCGGCTAAGAAGAATCCGCCAAAGAGCATCGAGTAGATGGCGACTAGACGACGAAGCTACCCGGAGGAAGTTCGCCCTCCTTGGAGACGAGTCCTCGTTTATGCCGCGCACGTGGGGGGACTCGGCACCAACTCGAAAATGGAATGTCCCGACCGTTTTATATTTCGATATTACCCTCGATATTATAACGGCCCCTCGTTTAAGGGGGATGGTGGAGCTACTCGATATCGTAAATTCCCTCGATTTGAAAGTGGAATATTCCAATGGGATTCCACCTCGCTGGTGACGCGCGCCGTTGTTCGGGCGTCGGGGTGGACGCTGTAAAAGGAACACGAGGTAGAAGCTCGGTTAGAGATTGCGAGATGATATAGGATTACCGGTTCGGGTTTAATTCCGCCGTTTAATATCGGGCCGTCCCGAATTCTCCGACGCCTCTCCTTTTGAGTAATGAATATTCAATATTCCAATATGGCGGCCGATACAGGGGGCAGCCGCCTCGAGGAGGCGTCGAGCTTCTCGAGGGAAAACCCAGGTGTTTAGGGGTAGGAAAAGAAGGAAATCTTGAAATGTATGTACCTGGCGATCGATAGCCCCGAAATGGACCGCTATCTCGCGGTGTTAGAGTTCTGATACCTGAATATTAGGTTTCGGGGATGAATATTAAAAATTCCGGGCTCCAAAATGGCGGCCGCCTCGAGGACGCGTCGGACGCGAAGGATCGAAGGTGCGCTGCGGGGCCAAGAAATGGGAAGGAATTCCGGGAAAACTCGAGACGTGACGAGGAATAGTTCTAAAATGGTGGATTTCCTCGCGGTTCTCGAAACCTTTTAATTCCCCGATCTCGGATTCTTCGCGCTCTTCTCTCGCGCGATGAATATTCAATATTCCAAGATGGCGACCAATAAAGCCGCGCCTTCCGGACGAATCC